CTGTGTCTCTGGTCTCTGGCATATGGGCCTGGTTTGGAGGGTCTGTCGACCATTTTTGCGGACCATCCAGCTAGTACTCCGAAGCAAGGACGAGACGTTAATCCCCGTCGAAGCAGTGTCGATATTGAGGGAATTCAACGAGAAGGTGTGGAATCAGAACGAGGTAAACGCGCTGGCCGCCAACTACGTGGTGCAACACCATCCCAGTCAGACACTTGCGCTGGACCACGACAAAAACTTCCAGGGAAAAGGCCTCGAGAGCTTGATACGAGATTTCGAGAAACTGAGCACGGATGATTAAGACGAGGAAGGATGAAGAGAGTGGGAGAATGAGAAGCGGAGGAAAAGTACCGGTCTGTATACGGATGACTGTAAAATAATGTTGGTTTATGTTTGACGATACGATGCAGTACACGAGCTATGAGAATATACGACTCAGGCAGCAATATACCATGTGACCTTCCACTTTCATAGATTTGACTTGTGCGCTTTCAGTCTAAAATGGTCTATTTGAGTCCAGCTCTTTCATGTACAACACAGCCGTCCCATATATACAAGGAGTTATATCATGTACATCCTCCACCATATCCACCAAACAGCCGTCACTACGAAACCTCAATCAATTCATCCCCTACCCTCCTCGTCCACTCCATCCAGCTACCATCATACACCCTTCTGGATCCCTTCGATCCAACCAACCTCAAAGCTAGATCTAGTGATGCAGCCGTAACCCCTGAATTGCACGTCAGGATATACGGCACTGCCTCATCTTCCTCCGCCAACGCGCCCGCATCCATCAAGACACCCCTCAATTTCTCAGGGGCTAGTATCATCCCAGTCTCATCTTCCAATAGACTAGCCAATGGCACATTGACCGCTCCAGGAATGTGTCCGGACCTCAAATTTGGATTCATTTCCGGCTGTACACCTTGAAACCGACCTGGTATCCTCGCATCGACAATCCTCACCTTCTCCTGGTCCCTCCTAAAAATAACGTCTCTTACCCCCTCAAACGATATTACCCTCCCAGTATCGAAATCCCTCTCTTCCACGACATACTCATCACCTTGTTCTCCTCTAGTTCCCATTACTGGGATCTCTATCCCCTCAGACCCGGAACCTACGGGCAGCTGCATCCGCACATACTGCCTGAAATTATTCAAGACGTGAACATCCTTATGCCCAAATAGCTCACACATAAACGCCAGTCGCGGGGCATGGTACGTGCCTATCTCGTCTGCATCGTAGATCACTAGAATATCATCCTTGCGAATACCGAGGGCAGTCATTGCAGCAGCGAAGAGGGAAGGTGAGGGAAACATGGAAGGGTAGGGAGAGGTAGTGTCGCGAATTTGGTCGAGGTTGAAGAACCTAATTGGCAATATATATCTATCAGTATGTGGTGGCGGGGTATATAAGGAGCGGGGAGATGGAGTACTTTGAGCCTGGAAGGTGGAAGGATTCGAAGGACGAGTGGAGCGTGGGACGGTAGGCTGCTAAGGGGACAATCCGCCTATGCTTGGTGTCCTTGCATACTGCCGCATTGTGATAGTATTCGGCTGGAGATATGAGAGGAGATTGGAAGGGGTTCATTGTTCAAACTCCGATAGTTGTAGATGGTGATGGATGAGGGGAGACATGAGGGGGATTGCCGTTATCGGGATACCAACTTAGGCATAGATTATGCAGTTGTGCGTATTTGTCAGCTATGCACTAAGGTACCGACTCCGCCCCTTCCGGTCGGGATAGCAAAAGAAAGAGTGCGAGGTATGAGCTGATGAGGCAATACTACAATATATTAACAGTGTATTGACTTACGTTAGATATAAAGGTGCTGACAGGAGTAGTTTCAGTGAAACAAGTTGTATTAGCACCAGGTTTCCCTTGTTTTGCGTTACCAATGACCTGAGCACTTGACCTAGTACTAGTACAAATACTATTCACACGGATATATATTTTTGAAAACGAAGACGGACGACTCGATCATACGGCTACCATTACTGTCATACTTGTTGCGAAAGCTACCAGTCAAATAAATATATGTATATACCCAAGTCACAATGAAGATAAAGAATTGGAGAAAAATAAATTGCAAGAGAGCCAAATGTCAGGAGTGAAGCGAGGTAGGGGGAAAAAAGGAAAAAAGAAAGGTCGTGCCCGGGATCGAACCGGGGTTGCCGGAAATCTGGTAAGATTCAAAATCCGGAGTGATAACCCCTACACTACACAACCAGATGCTTGTGAAAAGTGAATTTGCTGATGGTATATAAATGCCATTTGTTTGCGAAGCGAATTGCAACTGCCCTGGAATTCACCAAAACAATTATCCACACCAGTTGTGATGAACAACCACATCTACGTACTATATCCACAAGGCTATGCCCATGCTTCGAGAGAATCTTTGCTCTGCCAAGACAACATTTAATTATTTCTTGTCGACATTCCGGAAAGCTCAATACCTCCAGGTGCCCTCTAAACTGATGATCTGTCCAAAAATTACACTGAGAAGGCAAATAAAATTGTGGTGGTTATGGCTTTGATCCTGTATAGGCTCTATGTGGACTAATAATGAATGTATTTGGTTGTGCCTGGAAAAAACACTGTGATGACGGCATTCCTTCGGGCCCAACAGCACAGCTGAGAGCGGCAATCCTTGACTGTTTGGGATAGGCAGTTAGCGCCGTCGATTCGCGCAATCTTGGGGCCAGATGGTGGGTTAACTCGCACATGACGGAATCTAGCTTTATTGGCTTGCTTGGTTATGCAAAAGAATGCACTCCCCGTAATTTTGTTCTATTCAAGCCCGTTTACCTTGCATTTGAGTGTATCTTGGATGTTTGTTTACCTGGGTAAGATGCCCTTAAGGCTATTGTGCCTGGTCCCTGGAGTATCCACATCCAGCCGCACTCCACTCACGCCAACAAATGGCCCTAAACCGCCCGGTCGATGGCTTTAATGACGTATTTACCAGGATTAAGCAGCCCCCATTCTACCAGTACAGTCAGCTCCACTGTCCTTGAGCTACAACAATCTGCATCATACGGTGTTTAGCTTGCATAAAGCCAAGGACCCGGCCTAGAAGCTAGTGATGTAATCATGCACATCCAGGATCTGAATGATCTCGCAGCAGGCGGATATATCTTACCGTGGATTCCCTCCTAGTCACGATGTTTATATCAATCCAACACCTGTCACTACCATCCAGGCCCAATTGACAGTTGCAGCCCCGGGGCTTCATACCGGTCTTTCATCATGAGGTTCCTTACAAGTCTCGTTGTTGCCACTTTATCCAGCACAACGGCATCCTACCAGTTCAATCCTCTTCACCATCTTGCCGGTATCGCTCCTTACTTCAGCTCTCATGATCCCCAGATTAATCCAGCTCCCTCCGCTGGCTGCAACGTCACACGCGCTGCTTATCTCGTCCGTCATGCTGCCATCTACGCCAACGACTTCGACTACGAGACCTACATCGAGCCGTTCGTCGAGAAGCTGCGCAACACAACACAAAGCTGGACAAACACCGACTCGCTCGCCTTCCTCGCCAATTGGACCGCGCCCATCACCGAGGACCACCTCGAAAAGCTGACTCGTGTCGGACTCCAAGAGGCAACAACCCTGGGCGTTAAGTTCCGCCAGCGATACCCTGACTTGCACACCGAAAAAGTTTGGGCCGCAACTGCCGAGCGGACTACCAAATCTGCCCAGGGCTTCATAACCGGCTACACCAACAACAAAACGCACGTCGATCTTGTCAGCGTCGCACAGAGTGACACGACCGGCGCGGACTCCTTGACACCTTACAAATCCTGCCCAGCATACAGCTCCAGCTATGGCAGCACCTATGAAGATGTACGCCTATAGTCGCATCGCCCTTATTCCACCCAGCAAACTTAACTAACAGTATCCTAGGAATTTATCGAAACCTACACAGGCCCCATAATCAAGCGACTTAACGCCCTCGCCCCAAAATTCAACTTCACTTCCTCCGATGTAACCGCCATGTTTGAGCTCTGCGGCTACGAGACTGTGATTCGAGGCTCCTCACCATTCTGCGCATCCTCGCTCTTCACCAACAACGAATGGCTCTCCTTCGAGTACGCCAACGACATCATGTACTTCCACAACACGGGCTACGGCCGTCCCGTGTCGCCAGTAATTGGCTTCCCCTGGGTCAACGCCAGCTACAACCTCCTCTCCGCAGAGACCAGCGAGCAAGACATCTACGTCTCCTTCACACACCGCGAGGTGCCGCCAACCATTGTCACAGCACTGGGCTTGTTCAACAACAGTGCTTATTCGGGCGCGGATAATGTGAATGCCACTATGCCGACGAATGAGGTGAATTACGATCGTGCCTGGAAGAGTGGTAACATCTTGCCATTCTTGGGAAATATTGGAATCGAGCGGATGGAGTGCAGTGGTACTCAAAATGGATTTGACGAGGGTGTGTATTTTCGGGTGTTGGTCAATGAGGCTGTTAAGCCGCTGATCGGATGTCGGGATGGGCCTGGGGAGAGCTGTAGCGCGGAAACGTTTGCGGAATTTATTAGCGGGAAAGAGAAGAGATTTGGGGATTTTGGCAGGATGTGTGGGAATTCCTCTGCTTTGGAGACTTTGGATATCTATAATTAGTAGTAGTGGTGGTGGTACGCCGGTACTTAGATTGGTTATTAATGCCTGGGACGCGGTATATGAACGACGCTCATCAGTGGAAACACATGCCTCTCTAGACACCTTTCCAACACAGGAGAACACAAATAAACTGGCTGGTAGATGTTCTTCAAGGTATCATCCCGCATAACAATGACTCGAGTAGTATTTCGGTTTCACAAATAGCTTATAGTATGATATTGATTAATATAAAGGAAAATATCCGACTCTAAGAGAAGCTGCTATACAAGAAAAAGTCAGATCAAACACTATATTTCTCCCTCCTCCGGATTCGCTCCTCACAAAATCCCCCCCTATCCCCCTCCTTCCCATGTACTCTAGTGCTACGCCCCCTAGTCAACAGTGACAGACTTGGCCAAATTCCTCGGAAAATCAACATTTGGTCCTTCAGCAACAGCAAGCCAATAAGCCATGAACTGCAGAGGGATTACATTCAGCAGACCCTGCAGAGCATCCACAGTGCGAGGGATATCAATCCTATCGGTCTTGTCACTAGGGAACTCGGGGTCACCAGTATTACAGATAACGATGGGGCGACCGTTCCGCGCAACGACCTGGTTATAGGCATTTAGCGACTTGGAGAAATTGTCGTCGCGGGTCAGTATCATAACGAGCGGTAGTGGTTCGTCGACTAGAGCTAGGACACCGTGCTTGAGCTCGCCGGAAAGAACGGCTTCGCAGTGGAGGTAGGAGATTTCTTTGATTTTGAGGGCCCCTGGAAAGATCGTTATTAGTGTTTAGGTACTTATTCGAGGAGAGAGTGGGGAGTTAGACTGACCTTCAAGAGCAGTGGCATGCTGATTACCACGACTGAGAAGTAGCAAACTCTTCTGGTCCTTGAACTTCATACATAGTTCCTTGATTTTTTCATCAAGCTTTAATACCTCTTTGATCTGGTCGGAAATGTTGGCAAGTCCCTCCATGATATCGATACTTTGCTGACGCTTGCTTGTGCGATCTTCACTAAGTGCCAAGGCAAACACAACCATGCAGACGAATTGGGAAGTGTAGGCTTTGGTTGATGCGACTCCAATCTCAGGGCCAGCGTTGATGTGGACACCGCAGTGAGTTAAGAGGGAGATTGAGGACCCAACGACGTTCACAATACCAACAGTTAGAGCACCGCGACTAAGGCAGTACCGCAGCACCATGAGCGAGTCTGCCGTTTCACCTGATTGGGAGACAAAAACGCATGTATCATCGCGAAATACGGGGGCTTGTCTGTCTAGAAAATCAGAGGCCAGCTCAACTGCAATGGGTGTCTCGGTTAATTCTTCGAAGATACCGCGGACTGCAACGCATGAGTGATACGAGGTACCACATGCGATGAAGATAATTCTGCGTGATCGTCTGATGGTTGAGAGATACTGTCGCAGACCTCCGAGGGTAACGGTCCTTTTCTCCACGTTGAGGCGACCGCGCATCGCATTGACGATGGACTCTGGTTGTTCGTATATTTCTTTCTGCATGAAGTAGTCGAAGTTGCCTTTCATCATTTCCTGAAGTTCAAATTCAATAGTTTGGATAGCTCGGACATTTGAGGTGCCAAGATCTTTTGAAATACGGTGAATGTTGAGCTGACCGTCGTGGATGTGAGCGATGTCATCATCTTCAAGATATAGAACTTTCTTAGTGTGTTCAATGACAGCAGCAGGATCGGAAGATAGGAAGAACTCTGCTGGCATAGGTACCCCGTCGTCTGACAAAAATGCCCTCGATTGCGAGTGATGTAGAAGATTTTTGTCTGGGGGCGTGAGCAAGTTACTAGAAATGGCGCTGCCTTGGCTCAGCCCCCGCGACTCGTCCACTGCTAGGCTTTGAGGTGCAGTCTCGGCAGACATGACATCTTCATGGGCAGTTTCAACATCAACAAAATCGACCTTCATCTTGCCCTGCGTCCGAATCCCAACAACCAACGGGGAGCCCTTACGGGCGGCGATAATTTCATGAGGATAGTGAACGGATTTGATGAGCAGACCGAATGCGCCCTCAAGCTCCTGGATAACGGCCTTGGTGAGGGTAGTAAACTCGATTGTGGGATCCTCATCGTAAATGTATTTGGCCAACTTGGCAATGGCTTCGGTATCGGTATCGGTCTCGAACTTGAAGCCTTTGCTCGCGAGGAGTCCCCTCAGCTCCTTGTAATTTGTCGTGATGCCGTTGTGGACCACGACAAACTCTGAGGTAGGATCGGACCTACGTAAAACGTCAATCATACGGCCTGGCAGTGGACGTTCCCAGAGCCGAATGTATACCTATGGGGATGGCAGTTGGTTCGCGACGGCGATCCGTGAGTCGCCCAACGAGTATGTGCAATACCCGCATGCGATTCAGAGGTCCTGATGGGATCGGGCTTCTCCTCCGCAATGAGCTTTCTCAGCCCTGCGACCTTCCCAACTTCCTTATAGATGAAAACCTCCTTCTTCTTGTTACCGTCGATTGCAAGTCCGGCCGAGTCGTAGCCACGGTAATCTAGACGTGAAAGGCCTGTGATCATGGTTAGTAGGAATTGGATCAAATGCGGGCTGAAGGTATCTGTTGTACCATTCAGGAGGGTGTCGAGAATCTCCTTCCGATTCTTCTCTACGAGATAATTCACGTAGCCGAAAATTCCACAAACTTTGTCAGTGGCGATGCAACAGTACCACGATTTGGAACATGTTCACTCACCACATGCTGCCCCGTGTTTGATGAGAAAGAGGAGTAGGTACTAAAGGGAAGATAGAACAGCTAAATAAGCGTGCAACTTAAAAGAGACAGACTGAGGGGTAATAATGTGCAAGCAATGCGATTGAGAGACAGTACAGGTAGTCGTCTTATACACTTCCCCTGCCGTTGATCCCTCGAGCGCAATCTGCTGCTTATCTGCCACGTAGTGTTAAAATAGTAGCATTCGGCGGCTCTACATGCTGTGTATACTAAAGATAGCGCTCGATAAGGTTGGCAGCTGAGCAGTGGGGCACTTTAGTACCACCGTCGGACTCCGGCCTAATTTTAGTACTAACAATGTGTCCCCAGCATACTACGTAGTTATTGAAGACTAAGTCTGTGTGGGGTGTACCTTCTATACATACATACGCTAGACCGTTCTATACGAGGCCCTATTTAGCTTGGTTAGTATTATTTTTAGCCTTACTAAAGGTATGGTGCGGATGGTGGGGAGTACAATATTTATCAGTTACAAGACTATGCCCATCCGAAAGATTTGCCGCATCGTCGCCATAGTTCAGGATCTGATAGTCGGGATAAAAAAAACGAGATTGTCTGGGTGTTGAGGCGCCCATAAATGGCCTCTTGTAGGGCATGTAACACAATGAACAACCTATAGTGCATAACATGGAGAATAGGTCCTAAGACCCAATTAATGGTAATAGTGCAAAGTCCTCCGAGCACTAGAGCAAGAACCGGAATCCCTCTGCCACTGCCCGGCCAGGCAAGCCGTGTTCTTCATTCTCACGAGCCCGCGCGAGATCAACACCTTCTAATTCATCGAGCTGTTTATTCAATCTACCCAAATGAATGCGAAGGATGGTGGCAATTACGATTGTCATCGCAAGCAAAGCGATATTGACACTGAAGGCGGCGATATAACGAGGAGAGGCGGAGTCTATCAATCCCAATGAAGGTTAGCAGATTATATGTGACTGGAGATAATGGAGGTTTTGAACGTACCAGGGTAAAGATATGGCATATAGATCTGGCAGACATTACTGAGACAATTGATGAAGGCCAAGGCAGCGGCCCGTTTTGTGGCTGGGCGCGGGAGGACTGCGATCGTCAGTGAATGTAACTAGTCTCTGAGCCTGCACCATCGATGCTTACTGTTTGAAATATATCCCAAAGACACCACGTAACCTGCGTAAATGCCACCAAGCATTATACACATTGCCCTAGACCATCTTGTGTTAGTCATCTCGATCGGGAGGACATATTGATTGAGACTCACACATATCGAGCGGCGAAGTTGTTGCCTGCCATAGCTAATATGAATGCAACAATAGCAACGACAGGCGGGAGTGCTATATGAAGGTATCGCTCGCCTGTTCGATCTGCATTCCAGGCATGCACCAACACAACAAGGGTAGCGATCAGATATGGAGGTGTAGTCAGAAGCAAGGTATCAATGTTGTTTCGGCCAAGTCCGGCCATCACGCTAGATGATAACAATAAGTACCTGTAGACCGCCGGAGAAACAGGATATAGCTCATACCTGGGAAAGAAGGTTGTTACGCATCCGGCAGACGTGCAGCCGTAGATGATGCCTAGCATTAGCCAAGTCTTTATGTCCCTGTTGTGTGATGATGAGCTTGGTGACCAAAGCGAATGGAAGATTGAAGTGCTTACGTGACGGCGAGCTTTGCACCCTTGGTCATGCTCTGATGTTCATTATCCACCCAGTCATCTTCGCCAATGTCCTTTTCTAGTCTCCATGCCGCAAGGACTTTCTCGTCATCCGTTAGCCACGAAGTGGTTCGGGGTAGATCGGGAACAATGAAAAATGCGATCAAAGCCGCGAAGATCTAGGATGGTCAGTATAAATTGGTTTACAAAACTCAGAGAAATGGTGTTTACAGTTAGCGCTCCCTCAATAATAAAAAGCCACCTCCATGCAGCGATGCCTCGTGCGCCGTTCAAGCCGCTCGTAATACCGGCGGCTATCAGACCGGAGAATGCACCCGAGATCAATGAACCTGCGTATAGCAACGCAGTCCGTTTCCCCAACTCTTTCCTGGTATACCAGGCTGATAGAAGATATAAACATCCGGGCTAGAACGTTAGCAGATATCTAGAAAGCAAGTAGAGGGATTCTCACAAAGTATGCAGCTTCGACGAATCCGAGTAGAAATCGAACAACAATCAAGCCAGCAAAATTATGGGTGGCCGCAGTGCAACACGAAATGACACCCCACGCTACCATACAACCAGGTAGATATATTGAAGGCTTTCCGAGCTTGTTGAGTATCAGGTTCGAAGGAACTGCGCCAATTAGTTGGCCTGGCCACAAATGGAACAGAACACTAGTACTGACCCTGCATAAGAAGATACCCGACGAACAGGATACTAACACACACCTGCGGCGCGTTAATTCCTCGCATGCCTTGTAAATAATTATTCTTCATAACTTGTTGACTATCATACCTGGTATTGGTCACCTCTAAGGTTTAGGTCCGCTTGCAAACCAGCCAGTTTTGCTGCTGCAATGTTGTTGCGATCCAGATAGTTCAAGATGTACATAATCAACATCATGATGAGCAGCCTGATATCAATCTTCCTAACTAGCTTTGCCTCCCGTCGCTGTATCTCTTCTGAAGTCAGATCTTGCAACGATGTTGGCACAGTAACAGTGCCCGAGCCCTTTAATGTGTCCCCCATTTCGGGGCATTCGATGTGTTCGGCCCTGAATTCTTGACATTATCCATAGAAGGCAATTGGTAGATGAAACGGGAAGTAGTGAATTGAGATGTGCAGCGGCGAGGATGTTTGCCAGACGAGAGCAATGGAAGCGAAGAGAGCGGTTGTGGGTATTCCAGCTTGTCCTTAAATGCTGGCGGATTCTGGAGCTTGGGCTAATTCTGCACCAAGCTACCCCGTGGGGTGGTGAACAGCCAACCGGGTTCGAGGACGGGGTTCTCTTCGGATATCTCAGGCGGGGTTGACGCACTTGGCAGCGGGAGCAAACAACCTGCCATATCCAGTGCATATCCGATGATTTTCCGGACTGAAGGGTCTGAGGGCCAGGGCAAAATGGGTTGCTTCTACAACAAACCCAAGCCAGGGTAATAATGTATGCTAATTTTTCCATTATACGTTCGGTGTCAAAACTGAGATCATTGGCAAACAACCAGAATGCACGATAGAGAAAAGAAGCATAATTCAATGGTACTGTGCTGGCTAGCACATATTACAACCTTTATTACTCTTCTATCTTGATCCTAGCACCGTTATCCCCTTTCCCAAATTCTAAGAACATTGTGTGTATACTGGAAGGGAGAAAGAGGCTTCTCACCACCTTTTTTAATGGGGAACTAACTCCTCTACATGAAAGGGTACACGGAAGAACATCACTCCTTTTGGTTTACGTCCAAAAATTCCAGCAGTCTTTGCGCAACAGCAGATGGTTGCTCTTCGGGGAGGAAGTGGCCACAATCGTGAATAGCGCCTCCGGAAACATTGGCCGCGAACTTCTGAACCAAATCGATCATACCCGCACCAACCGAGCTCTCTCCACCCAGAGCTAAGACAGGAATATCAAGTGGTGTCTTTGCGAACTCCAGATTCTGCTTTGAGCTCGTCTCAAAAGACCGATAGTACTCGAATCCTCGACTCATGGCTCCTGGTCTCGAATAGGCTTGAATATAGCGTTCAAAATGATCTTTGTGCATACCATCGGGATGAACTGTCTTCAAATTGAAGAACCAGGTCAAGAGCTCCCGCTCACGACCGCTCGTCAAAATTTCAGGTAACTCGGGAAGCGCGTTGAAGGAGAATTGCCAAAGACGCAAATTGGTCTGCTGAGACAATGGGAACTGAAACTGAGGCAAGAAACCCGGCACTGATGCATCTAAGATACTGAGCGATTTGATTCTCGATTGGAATTGAGCGGCCCAGGGATACGCGATCCATCCGCCCACATCATGGCCAATTAGATGATACGGTTGTTCTTTCAAAGCGTCGTGAATGGCTTCGGCCATGATCTTGCTCACGTTCGCGGTATCATAGCCATTGACGGGAGGAAGAGAATCGCCCAAGCCTGGGGGGTCGAGTGCAAAGAACCGGTAGTTTTTGGAAAGTGGCTCAAACATTTCACTCCACGCTTCTGCTGTCTGTGGCCAGCCGGGAATGAGCACCACAGGAGGACCTTGACCGCCGACGATGGCTCGGACCCCGTGTAGGAGACGGGTGACTTGCCACTTTGCCGTCATTATGTAGATGTTTGTCGGGTTAAGTGACGGGATAAAGATTCGAATGACGTGTATTTGTCGGACAGGTTAAATCTACCGGCATTCAAATGATATTTTACCTGGACACTGAACCGTCCTGATTATATTCTGGTCATGAGTCACGGAGACTTCGATGAGTCAAGGCAAGGGGATGATGCTAAAATCTCATATCTACCGATACTAACTGTATTCAGGTTAGGGTATAGCGCAAGTCCAGCATTTTATTATAGAGGACAGATCTCCGTTACATAACGATCCGTTTCAAACAAAGTCAGTAACTACCCAATGCAACTTGGAAATAAGGATTAGGAGATAGACAGATTATTAAGATATCATATACAATGTTTCTTTTTTCTTTCACTGGCGTTGCCAGTCTTCGGCGGAGTGGGTCCCACAACTTGCCTGTAACTTACCCCGCCGGCACATAAAGCTTAGCTGGTTAGCCTATTGTGATGTTCGGCAAGATGGGTCGAGGTAGGTCTATTGCATGAGACGTTGAGTTGAAGAATCCCAAGTGATCATGTCAAGGGCGACCTCGACCTCTATGTTTGTTTGTTCGACCCCTGTGACTCTCCCTACAAGTTATACAATGGCAAAGACGAATGGTTAAACCATATGCGCCAACATAGGCCGCGATGGCGTTGTGCCGCACGGGCGCACGGTATCCTTGTCTTCTATGAGAAAAGCGAGTACGAAGAGCACATGCGCCGAAAGCACAAAAGCACTCAACCACAGTTAACCATACTCGCGGAGAGAAGTAGTCGACCCTCTGGTCCTGTCTTCCAGTCCTGCCCGTTGTGTGATGAAGGAAATCGGGCTGATCTCGAGGAGCACATTGCTGACCATCTTACATATCTTGCATTGATGTCAATACCCTTGCCTCAGAGCGAAGCGAATGATGAATACACGTGGATGGATGAAACCAAGGGTACCAAGCATTTCCGGGCCGGAGGCGCTGGACTGACCGATTCCGATCGCTCTTTCGACAAAACTGAAATGGAAAAGGCAGGAGATCCCTCTAGGCTCCCCGAATCTCCTTTTGCTGGATTGGAGGAGCCAAACCAGACACATACAAAGGGAAAGGCACCAGCGAAGATACGTAATCAGGGAGAACCGCACAGGAGGTAATTAGACTCCCCAATCCCTGTCTTTGTGTAGTTTCCGAAAGGCCAATTCATACCAAAGGGAAAACACCGGATTCTTTACAGGTCGGTGTCAATGGATGAGCAGCACTGAATCAAAAAACTGTGAGGGAGTGGAGGATCTCCTTCGTCATATCGCCGAAACGCATAGGGAGTATGCTTCCGTCTGTCCTATGAAAGTTTGTGAGCAAAAGTTTGCCGATAGTGAAGATTATGTGAAACATGTGCAGGTTTACCATAAGAGACTGTAAGCTATGCTCCTCTTAATTATCTCCTCTAAACCAGCAGAAAGAATAACAAACTTCCAAGACCACTTTTAAGACATATGGCGACGCGTTGCCAATGGGTCGGTTGCACTACACAGGATTATTTCGACTCACGCGTTGACCTCGGCCGACATATTCGAGACATGCATTTATAACATACTTGTCTTTTGCCTTGGAATGTTGGGCCTAATTAACTTTATTTGCTTGTTGTCTGGAAAGGGTTTTCACTAAAGTCTCCGTCTCAATCAACCCGCGATTTGATGGGATGTCGAACAAAAAGCTCCAGCTTAACCAGTTTAGGAACAACAACTGCAAGGCTCTGGACCAGGTCGTGGGTGATCCACCCACAATTTTAAGGCTGATAAGACGCAATACACTCTACTAGTCCAAACTCAATTATCACGCGCATAATGATTTGGGACGTTAGACTTCCTGTAATACCCACTGCCAAGTTAGGGATGCCGATCTTAGTTCAATCAAGAGAGTTCTGCAGGGTTCTGGGGAACACAAACTACGTAATACGTTGAGAGCACTGAATGTCACCAGTGATGAAAGCAGATATAACTTTAATATGTCATGCTGCTTCTCCATCTTCAATAAGCATTACAGTCTTTCATCCCTCTCTATTCCTCAATAAGACCAAACCCCTTCCCACACGATGACCAAAGATTCCGAGCTTAGCCACCTCCACGAAACCCTTTTTGAACAAGGTATAAAACTCCGCCGAGCCGTCGTCGGCGACGCGTACGTGGATAGAGCCCTGGCCCAAGGATCCAGCGACTTTTCGCGTCCCGGCCAAGAACTGGTTACTGAATGGTGCTGGGGTCATATATGGACGAGACCGGGACTTGAGCTGGAGTAACGAAGCCTATTGAGTAAGTGAGATAAACTTCCTCTAGAGAATAAAAATATAGCTAAAATTAGACTCAGACCTGGGTATGTTGATCGCGTTGAAAACCTGGCCGGAATTGGCTTTTCATACTCGCGGTGCTATCATCAACGGCCTTACCGAGAAAGAGATCAGCGAGGCGGTTTTGCAGGCTACTTTTTACTGTGGAGGTCCTTCGGGGACTGAGGCTACGAAGGTTACGGAGAGGGCTATTAATGAGATGATTGCGAATGGGGAGTATAAGCGGGAATAAACTGTGCGTCGTTGGTTTTCGGGCTTAGAATATGAGAGGATCTTAATGTTCTTGGAACGTTGGATCGCTTCAATTTGGTGATATAAAGATGAATTAGAAAGGTTAGAGCAAAGTACTAGATTTAGAGAGGGCATACTACTTCTTACAGGCTGGATCTAAACATTGCTCTCTGCACTTTTGTTTCATTCTTCAGGGATACTGTAGGTCGTTACTGAAAGGCCCAAAAGATTATTAGCTTTCTATTTTTATGTTTGTCTTTGAATGAAGATGTGCTAAAGTGAGTGTTGCCTCGAACAGGTTTGAATGCTGAGGAGGTGTACCCAATTGAACATGTGTCAGACAATCACACGCTTTGAACTCTGTCTGAGCTGCGTAAATAGAGATGCGTATATCAGTCAACAGAATACCCAGGTCATATCCTCACTATAACGGCTTCAACTCGGCCAGAACCATCCTATATCTGCCTATATATTCCTTCTCATAATGGTAAACAGTAGAAAGAGATGTCATTCTAAACCATCATTATAATTCAATTTCTCTTTTTCTTTTCCATGACACCATCCCATTCTTCCCATCTAAAAATGCCCGCAGGTGAGTCTCGAACCCTAGTCATAGTAGGAACATCACCCAGACAATTCCAGGAGAACAGGCATCTATATGCAACATGAACGAGCTGCTACACAGCCCACGCAACATGGGAAATCGGGAGAGCAATAACGGTGACAACACAAGACGAATGCCACACCCCTCTGCAGACTTCTTCCAACTTCATAAACCTGCACCATGACAGTGACAGCCACAATTCATCAGCCACTGAGTCGTAGGCACTCTCGGGTTTTTAAAATCATCCCACTCATCGATCGGGAGATTGTGTACTCAATGTACCAATTGAGGAAGACATACTTCGAGTAGACCTTATCATGATTTGTAAGATATATGATAGCCATGCACTAAAGCCCGTGCTCTCGGACGAAGGTCTTAGCAGCACGGGTATCAGAAAGACTCGGGAACGCTGCCACTTTTTCCTGGTATTCGAACCTTCCGCAGTGTATAGGGAAGCCATCCGTTTTTTGCGATCTTCAAGTATTGTTTGGTCGAATTAATGATCCGGTGATGAGTGGCTCATGCGATCGGTAATGTATCTTATGGCATACACCTCCGGGGGTGTGAAGAGGCTGTTTTCAGTTACCACGGCTGACCACGCTTCATCTGGGATGAGGTCGCCTATGTCGAAGCACACTTTGATAGCATTATGTCTGTGCAGGTGCGTCGTCCCCGTATCATGTAGACGGACAATATGTGACGTCGTAGTGATATGGGTATTTCATGTCTCTTTTATCATTGGTAAAAAGTCGGTCTTTCATAAATCCACTAGGAATGGCATCCACTTTGAGCAAGCTTCATAGACGCGGTCCATGGATTCTTATATCCAGGTTCACCAAAAGTTTCGAAAGATTTTCGACAGAGGCAGAAGGTCTGATTTGTAGCGACTTACTGCCTACGAGAGTGATATTTGCCTGCGGCTCTCGGTGGTATTCTTCGGGAATTAGGAGATCAGCAAGGCAAGTCATTTGGTGCAAGGTGTTCACCAAGTGAACTGACCAGCCCGCCACTGATGTTTGGAGCGACATGTTGCGCAAATACTCAACCCCAAATATCCCAAATGTCCCCGCGCTTTTCTATAAAGCATTCAGGGAAACATACTGCGACAAAGGATGTTGCTTGAAAGTGGCCGCTGGATAAAATGTGCTCCAGTAGAGACAAGCTGTCAGATGCTTCCTATGTGTTTCCTCATCACTCCTTGACACCACCACCCATGGGGTGGAAGTAAGACTAGTGCTAGCCAGTGGGCTCTCCGCACCGAAGCTCAGAGCGGGTATATCAACGGAATCCTTCTTGAGTAAGGCCCGTGCAAGAGAGGGCTGATCGAGGTGGAAGTCCGGATAGGCAATATAGCTCATCATATTTCGACCACACCTTCATCTACGGAAAGATTGTAGTGTGATTAAAGTCGAATCTAATGCGGCCAAGGACACAGCAATGGGAAGTTGTGCCCGTGTTATCCGTAGTATATCGTTATAACACCGTTAGGGAATCCCAGAATGTCGCCGTGGTTCTCGATTTTCCAATGGCGTTTGGATAGAGCTGTGGAACATGGGCATGGACATCAGACCGAGAGTGTAACCTGCGATGATTGGATATCGCCATACATTTGCTGATACCATTCAACACGTTCGACTGTCAAATGGGTGTCACAGATAAAAGCGAGGTCGATAGTTAGGTCCTTCAGAAAGACTGTGGCATTAAGGAGATTGGCGATGACTCCTAGACCCTTTCCATTCAGCGATGCGATCGACAATGTTCGACTGGCTAGTATTAGTAAGGAAGAACGCAGTCGACTCAGGGTCCGTCTATCGTCCGAATGTTGCTCAGCACACCGCAGAATCTGACGCGGGACTTCTGCTCGATTTCAGGACAGGGGCTGATGCGTGGTATGGATCAGGTGTAATGAGCTCCTCGATATCGATGTTCTAGAAAGGCAAACAGCCCGACCCATCGTATGGGTAGAATGTGACCACCCAGCGTCTTTTCAGAATTTAAGGTCGACGACAGCATGGCACGAGACGTCATGACTTCGGTAGCCATCCATTGCATAATATTGCGGCCCGCTATGCTTGTCACTCTGGCAATGGATGATCATTTCTGCCGCATCCGAAGTATATCAAATGGGCCAGCGATAGAAAACCCAATATTTAGCAGCAAACCGGTGCTTGAGCTGCCTTCAGATCGATGGATATCCCAACAGAGGCGGAAAGTCGCAGATGTTCCTGCAACTCTATGAAGGCTCCACCACAGAGGATAGTCACAATCATACATAGTGTGTCCCGACAAGTACGGCACACTAGGTAGACTTCCATTATTGAGGTTAGATTAACAGGAGCAATTTCGACGATGTCGTCGACGAAATTAGCCTCAGGGCGTGAGCCGTATGAGCATGTCCGAATAAGCCTCAATGGGCTAGGCGCCAACCGGATCATCCAGTCGATATCTATAGGGTCGAAGACGGCCGACCAGTGGAGCCTTGCTTGACTTGGCAGTATATCTCGGTTTTTCCGAGGCTGCCGTGACCGCAAAGCTTTGCAGTAGATATGTAAAGCGATTGACACTTGGTCTGTCCTTCGAGAAGGATCTTCACCTGCCAATGTTCGAGCTGCTGCACCAACACGTCTAGCATAATATAACCGGATGCTGTTTATAGATGGTAGGAGTAGTAGGACGGGAGTGTCGTTCAACCCGCTCGATATGAGCTTTCCCCTGGTTGCCATCAACATCTGAAGCAATGTGATGAAAGCGTACGAAAGATGCTCATGAAGAGAATACCACTGTGCACGACCACCCAAGGCGCGGTTACAACAGGCGCCGCGGAAGAAACCGGACGCGATTGCGCATTCAGCAAAAGGACCTTTGCCTTCACGGCAGCAAGAACAGGCGGCAGAACCGATATCCTCAATTCCACAGGCTTGGAGAAGCGCAGTCTGACGTTTTTAATCGTTTGCAACGTCAGAAGCAATGACGATCTCTCCGAAAGCAATACGCCAAGTAAGACGGCGGACGGAAGCAGTAACACTGCAGTAGTGTTTGACGGTGAAATCAAGAACACTGGGAAGAAGTTGGTATTCCGAATCAAGTCCCAGGGGCACCGACAAAACCGTCACTAACGTGAACATTGCCCTAGTCATTGCTGTCGCTGAGATCCTGATTGTCATGAAGATCGGTGTGCCTTATGGACTTCGCCGGGAGTGACAGGAAAAATGGTACTATCAGTGCGATCGTCCCCATCTAAATAGCTAGCCATCCATCATCTTTCTTCACCACTCGTATTTTTGCCTAGACTAATGAGGCACTTGTTGGCTCGGTGTATCTCGACGTTCTGAAAAGGACGTACCGTAGGGTGCGTCATGACACCCTGAAGGTGAAGAGGGAGCATCCAACTGCAATGTAGAACGGTATCTTGACAAGTGAAGTAGACATCTTTCATTGCAGCCACAACCATCGGAGAAGAGGAGTGGAGAAATAGTTCATATCCAGCGTCCCCCAGATGTAGCCATGTATTTCCCAAGCAGATTGAGGGTGGTGAGTCTGACCTCTCGGATGGTTGAGTGGAAAGAGTAAGCCGGGCCCGACACGAGATGATGGTGTGAGGTAGCCCGAAGCCATTTCAGATATTGGAGCCTGTCAATGTTTAACTCAACCATCAAATTCGCCACCCCAGCGCAATATGTGATGACTCTATTTCCCTTTAATCAAAGTCAGGTGCTTGTAAATGTGTCAAAGGACTGTAATGTTGGCACACTTTCGTTATCATTGACCATAAATCGGACCGGGTCTTACTCAGGGGAATAATTCAGGCCACTGTTTCCCAGAAGGTATACGCGGGAAAGACATGTCCTTACTTCAACGTCCCGAGGACGTCGGTAGCAAGCTATAATGTGAGGTATCTCCTGGACTCTCAGTTTCTCGTCGCAATCGTACTTTCTGTTGACGGTTACCTTCCATGGTAGTTGTTGAACTGGTCTGACAATGTTGAACACCTTGCGGTCTCCTTGTACCGAAATGGATACAGATGGGGCTTTTCCGAAGTCAGAGCGCCCACAACTGCTGTTGGGTGGTTTGGACTGTCAAGAAGACTGGACGCATTCTTTTAGGATATAATAAATGACTGCCCATGGATGTGGAAAAGCTCATTGTCATTCTTTCAGCGGACGTTAGGTAATGGCTCGGACATTCGGTATTATCTTCATATTGCGTTCCGAGACCAAGCCCCCATGTCTGCCTCCTTGTCCGCCAATTCAAGTTTCAGAACTCTGGGACTTATTTACTGTTGGGCCAAACACTCATTTGCTTCTCGGAGTGCCCACATGATCTTCCGACTGGGCGTCATGTCACTCCCGAGCACGCCGTGTACTCAGCGTGTTCAGGTACCTGTGCACTTGCTGAGCTGTGATGAGCATGTAGGGTTTTGTACCGACAGCCCCGCTGGCAGATGGCAAATAACCTGAACCCATCAGGCTTAAAAGCCGAATGACAGAAACCATATTCTCTCGTCTGCGTCATTATAAGAGACTTCTGACTGCTTCTTCATCTCCTTGATTGATGATGATCAGGATTCTTGTGGATAAATACATGTTAGCTGGATGAAACGTGCGTGTGTATGTCTTTGAAAGAGTATGGAACTATATGAATGCTCTCCAGAACTGTCTGAAGGGTATCATTATACCGGAATACTTTCTTTTTGGCCCATGTTTGTGTCCATGAGCGAAAGCGACCGAGAATGGAGTTGGTGTGCGTATGGAAGATATTCGCAGAGGACGACTCCAGTCATACTGCTCGAGCTGTTGTTGAGTTATTATCAGCAGCTCATCGCTAAAACGTGCGGCACTTGCGGACCAGTAGAGAGCATCGTTCCCACGACCTTGGGTCTTTCTGCAGTTCGGGATAGGGTGGGAAATTATGAAATTGGAGAAATCCTGTCCATCACCGGTGTGGAAATGGAATTGCCCGAGGCATGAGATACGAAGCCCACTTCGTTGGGTATTTATGCAACCTCATCCGATGACATTCCTAGAATAATCAATTGCCCCTTGAACCTAGTAGGCCAAATTAGCATCTGTTGTCTCCCACAAATATCTGTTGATGATTCACTTGAGAAGGATGTCGATGAGGGATGTTCAAAAGTCCATCCATCCAAGTACCATCCTTTCTCGCTGTTGTTAAAAGACCGTCTCGTAGTTTCTCTACCTTCCGGTCCTTTATCTGTACACCATGAGATGGAGAGGATGCTTCAGCTCATAGCCATTTCCTGGAAGTGGATCAGCCAAAAGTTTGGACTGCACCAGATGTCATCCATTGTCCGGCCCCTAGACACCTTCATTGGAATGGTTGACAGACCAGATCCGGTTTCCACATGCTTTGCAGCCGCTTTCTTGGAATGAGAGATAATTTCGACGTGCCGAATGGTTCTGCTTGGACGCCGACCGTGAAGCGTTCACACTCTCGCCTGTTTTGTAAGTGCGGTGCACACCAACAATAGCACTTGAACCAAGATCATCTTTTGTTGATTATACGGGAATGTCGAGGTATCTGGTGAGGTGTGTCTTGAAATATTCCCGCATGTTTTCTGGCAAATGATCCTCTGGAGGGATCGCGGTGTCCTCGATCATTAGTCGGAGCTCAGCAGCGAAACTAGGAGGATTAAAGTTCGCAGTAAGGGGATTTGGAGCACTTTCTATCTTCTCCGTCCAAATATCATGTCGAAGGTTCCTTGACCACAACTTTCTTCATGAAAACTGCACCCTATCGCGAAGGGGATTTAGAAACAAGTTGGCATTGGAACCCAGGCGCAGGTTATCATCGCAGTGAGGCTGGTGACAGACATAAAGGGAATTCAGCCGCTGGTAGATGAGGCAAACTCACCAGTCTCCGAGATCACATGGCAGGCTGAATGTCGACGGTAAGACTGAGGCCTCTGCATCGTACCATCTTCAGGGACATGCGCGGCCACGCCAACAATCAGACAGCGCATCATCTCAAGCACATGCAAGGGTTAGACTGCCTCGTTGTCTGTAGGATGATTTTGCAGAGTTTCACGACCTGGAGGTTTTGTTCGGCGATGTATCGGCCCATCATACCCATGCGTTTGTCAGGCGACGTGGGTCAGAGTTTAGTCTTCTCGTGGGACGAGTACTCGCAAGATTAGTGATAGCGCTTCATCTCAACCATCTCTCCTTCAATAGCCAGTGCAGTTTGAGCTACACAGAAATTCAGGGTATCATGCTTCCGACACACAGTTACTTGTGGTCCTCGTCGCGGCCTTGGAGTTTGTCGCACAAATACTTGGCTGAACTGGAGTCCTTCGGCTGTGTGTCGTGCGTTTATATGTATTGTCGCTACTGTATATCGAAAGGGTTTCCCATCCACAGCCTGGAAGCCTTTGACGTGGTGTTGATAGCTGCGACGTCTGTTTCACGCACTCTGAAGCTTGTCTTCATTGCCGGAAATCGGTCAGGTGGTTCGTTGGTCAGAAAGGGAACGCAGGACGATGCGCTCATGTCTCTACTGGAAAGACCGTCGCTCTCGTTCGTATGGGTCAAGAAGTAGAGACTCAAACAAACCACCTGTTATTCTGCTTCCGAAGTGAGTGGTAAGGATTGATGTAAAAACATCGTCCCGGCAGCTAAAGAGTCCAGTGCAATGTCCCATTTCAACTTTTCAGCGTAATTTCGAAGAATGGCCTGAGAGGCAGAAGTCGTGGTTGGCCGATTGCAAATGTGTGTCATACCCGAGCAAGGCAGTGAGACACAACGGTATCGTCGGCTCCATGGACAGATATATTGAAGCACATACACCGCTGTAGTGGTTTCGGAGAAGATCTCTTGTTGCTTCGATCCAGGCAATGGTGCGGCCGAAGCTGTGCTGTTTTCTCCATCCTTGCTGGCCAAATCTTCAAGAGTGGTAGACCGCACTACGATCCAAGCCACAAGCTTCCATCCAGATTTATAGACATTTGAGATAAAGGGAAAAGGATATAGAAATGAAAAAAAAATAAAAACATACAACAGAAGGGATTCGCTGGTGGTCACCCACCCAACTACTAACCTCCCGGCGTGTGGCTTAAGTACGGCTGAGCGGACGGGAAGCCCTGTTTTCCACACCCTGTGGTCGTATGTGCTTGATTACTCTTGCGATAAGCTTATATCATGCGGACTTGAATGACCGGTCGCTGGATGATTGGTGACCGATCCCAAAGGGATCTCTCAAGAATTGGTGAAAGTATATAGAAGTATTCCAACAAGTTTTATGACACACGGGAGTATCGCAGTGATACATCCGACGCTCCTAGGCATTTTCATCATATTTAAATGCGGTCACACCTCGCCGATACGATAAGACGGGAACGGTAATGCTTTATACCCATGTGCAATCTGTTGCCTCGAGTATATTGGGCCGAAGGTTATGCCAATCCGGATTGTAGCTACCGGATAGACTGTCCATAGTTCGCGGATTGTGTAATGAGACGAAGAGCAGGTACCCAGTCCACCTGTCAAGATAGGAGGTGGCAGCTCCAGATATCTCATTTTGGTGATCCTGACGTGCGTGGCCTCAGCGCATCGTGTGCATGTCGTAACCACCGCGGCGTGGTACCCTTCCCTCAATATCGCGACCGTCTTATATATGCTTCGATAATTATCGGGCGTGATAAAGTAGGCGTAATGTGTCTCATCGGTGCAGAGAGATTGGTGTGAACGAACGATTCTTGGTCTGCTGGATAGTGGAAACCGAGACGTGGATAATCTTCCTCAGATATGCCATACCGAGGCGCTTGGATCTGATCCCTCATCGGAGACCGTTCTTCAGTCTGGAGGCCGCATACGGCCTCCGCTTTGCATCGCCTGGCCTTTCAAAGATATCAAAATAGTTGATTTCGAAAGGACAAACATGTCGCCAAGAACATGTTAGCTAGCGAGCCACACCATGCTGAGAGTCAGCTTAATCGCATGAAGGCCGCAATCTGCTTTCGAGTGATTAGGGCTTGACCCCTTCAAGCCGGCCTCTGCGCCGAAGGAGATGACCCCGGACTTCGAAAATGCAAGCCAGAACTAGAACCCCATTACGCCGCAACTGAAGGATGAGCTGGCGGGCATCCATAATGTTGGATAAAGTAGTCTCGGATGGTTCTTCCCTCTTGATAAGCAGGAAGCAGATTGTCTATAGGAGCACTCTATAGTCAAATATCGAACAGTGCTATGAATATTCCAGACTCGAACGTCGTGCGTGTCACGGATTCGCGAATGGCTGTGTCTGATCACTTCCTGGAGGCATTCGATTAACCCAGTCCAAATCTCCCACCAGAGCATGGTACACACCGATTATGTCATGGATGAAAAAGCCCGCTTTATAGTGCACGTCGTATACCTTGTTTTCGACCATACTAATCGCGTCTTCGTATGTGTTCATGTTCACGGCGTTCGGGTGGATTCTTGGGGATCTTTGATCCAACACCGAAGGATTCTGATCGACGCTTGGAAGACGGAACGTATCCCTTGAGATAAGGGGCAAAGGCCAATGCGTCCGGTTGATGGTACCTATAATTGGTACCGCATATAAAGAGCCATCCCATCAAATAAGTAGTTCGCCCCATTATGTTCCAGAAATTTGATTGCGGATGAAACCAAGCTGGTTAGCGCCCTGTCTGTTGGCCCGCGTAGCTCTGTGGGTAGACCATGTATCGTGACACATTGGCCCTTGCTCCCTCGATCTCCTGTAGGGTAACTTGCCGACCGCATAGGATGAGTAGCGCTTCCTCCATCTGCATCGAGGAATATGCGATCGAAGTGGTAATCAGAAATATTATGAAGTCAAGCCCCGCTCGTGGAAGGGACATGAAGCATGGCTGGGGAGGGTGTAACCGAGTTACGTGGCCGTAGTGTCAATGAAATAGTTGAGACCGGAGCCTTTTCAAGTGCTTCCTTCGACCTTTCTCTCGCTCTGTGGCACAAGGCCAACCCCATGAGGCTCAAAGATATGGCCATATATTTGGCTTCGGATCTCTGGTGGAGGTATGTATATAAGATATTTGTTATCGTTTGATAGTGGTGCGCTCATCGTCCAAGATCATTGAGCCTTCAGAAGCCCATCTCGTTGGTTCGGATTTCTTTGGAGTGACCAAGATGAAATGTTGATGGCACGATATATCAAATCGTCAATTGGCTTTTGTTTTTGGTCTTGTTCGCATGGGAATGGATACCAAGGTCGTTGCAGTATAGCTATTTCGATCAACGGATAGGAACAACGCGTAGATGTAGACTGCTGGATCTGCAGTTTTTATTCAACTAGCAAGACCCGACGATGAGATGTTTAGTGTATCAGACATATTGTATCAGACATAGTAGTGGCCGGTAACGATTAAGGGAACACATGAGCTGGTTCAATTGCTCGAATCAGTCGTCAAGGCCGATAACACAGTCACAGAAAGGTAGGAAGTGTCTAGGTCCGGGAGATATTTCTTAAGCAATACTGTGTAGCAGTGGTTCCAAGCCGATTCGTAGTCCTCAGCCTGACTGGATCCTATCTGTTGAGGTTCAGGAGAAAGAGCGAAATGACGGTTATTGTTTTCGCTCCGCGGGACCGGCAATGCGTCGCCAAATTCTGTCCGAGCAACGCGTGATGCTTGGCCGATGCTTGGAAGATGCCACAGATATTCTCGAGTGAAGCGTGAAGCAATGACAGACACTCATGCCAGAGGTGGTTGGGTTCGCTCAGTTTCAACTATCAGAACGAGGTTTGGTAGCAGAAAAGCCGACCGACCCAGCACAGTGGCTTAATGGTCCTGACGATGCTCTAGAGATGCAGCCAAATTGACTAAATCGATGCGTTCAGTCCTGCCATGTAGACCTGGCTCGGGTAATCCGCAACCTTTAGCCGATAGCTCCGTGATAACCAGCGTGCATGATTGCTTGACGTCTGATAGCGTAGAACATGCCAGATGGGTCTGAAAGCTATTAATAACTCCTCGTTTTAAATCGAGTTGGCAGTAAATGCAGATTACTTGCATATGCTCTTGCCAAGTCCATGAGCCATTGGCAACAACAGCGAGATAATAACTCGTCGTCACAAATTTCTGAGTTGATCGGATCGCCGCCTTTGAGGGAGGCAGCATTGCGAATCTTGCTCAGCATTCTGAGCAATGTATAGCGAATCTCCAAGTTCTGTCGGCGTTGTATGCCGCTTCTTCTGCCCTGACTTGTGCTGACTAGAGAGTACTGTATCATCAGAGATCGATCACTCATGAGATTTTCGTGAATGGATGCTTACCTGTCCAACTGTTCAGTTGACCATGACATTGAGGCATGAATATACTAGCCACGCCACGCTTATATTGTGGGCTCTCCTAAGCATAGGCACCGGAATAAGCCATGTGACGATCCTCTGCTTGATCGCAGTATAGAAGGACATTCATTAGGACGACAGATCCTCTTCGAGTCTGCGTGGCATACGACTATCTGAGAGATAAAGATCAGCGCGAAGAACGAAGCAAGATGCAGTGGCTTGTTTCTGGAGTAGAATCATACGGTATGGTCCAGATCTATGTGTGTTCGGCTCAAAAGCAGCCCCATCAGAGAACACAACAGTCAGAGAAGCAAAGAGGAAGAAGTGATAGAGAGATGGAACGAGACAGCGTGTGAAAATATCAACAACACACAGGTCAAATCTAAACAAGCCACACATGTTAAAGCGGGTCCTGTTCAAAGTAGTTGCTGCGACAGCCCGCCGTGTGAACAGGCAAAACACTCAGATATGGCCAAACTTGTGAACCTCTTGTGAGAGAGGCAAGAAGCATGACCTGATGGTGTACATGTGCAGCGATGAAGAGGTAAGCTGCCTTGCACCTTTAGCCATGATGTACAAAAGGGTAATCGTTAAGAGAAGAGGCATACTTTGGGAGGTGTCATGATGCCCTCCATGTCCCATCCACCTAAGGTGTTGTTTCTTGCTCGTGCTTCTCACTAAGTGAGGGTGAACTCAGGAATATAAATCAGAAGGAACATAAGAGAGTTGGGCTGCTTGAGAGAGATAGAGGAGGGAGAGAGAAAGGAAGGAGGAAGGTAGGATGAGAGAAATTTATACCCAGACAAGAAGAAGCCCTCTTCAATGACCAGGCGGTCACTGGATATAGCTTCGTGAATCAGCACATGCGAATTTGTCAGATACGTGACTGAGATGTCTACGTGACTGGGGTATCCGTGAAGTAGGCTTAAGAATCGTCACTATAAATGCGTGACTAAAGACGGGATGTTCCGCCAGATTCACGAAAAAGCCCGAATTCATCTAGGATACGTCACTACGAAAAGCCACGTGAGCACGAGTCATGGAATCGATAGAGGATCTCAAATTAGTTCCAATCATTCTTTCCATTTGGCCCATGGCCGATTGGTTCAAGCGGCGTATATCATGATACTAAGGATTTCTATATTCTCTCTTTACGACACTGAAACTTGGAAGGATGCTAAGTACATTTTACAACAGTCTTCAATATGAAGAATCGGACATATGACAGGAATCAGGATAATATTATTTATTTACAGGCTTGGATGGCCCTACAGGCCTCATATGGACTATCAAGTTGCGACATGGAAATCGCTGGCTTCTCAAGAAGCCGGCGTCGATACTGCAGACATCGACCGGTAATCAAAATCCGACCTCGACACGATTTATCGAGTGCGTAACGAAAGAACTGCGAGTTGGCCCAAGCTCCAGTATTCTTCTGGAACATCGTATCGACGTCTCTGACATAGCCTAAGCAATCCGCACAGAATGCCACATTTTCGCCGGAGCCTGTCCAGGACTTAGATAGTGCGGCTAACGCGTCATTAGCGTACTGGTTGGACGATGAGAAAAAGGAACATACCCCAGGTCAAAATAAATATGCCGACAGCCACCAGGGCGACTGGAATTAAACGGACCCTCATTGCGAGGCACGGACAGGCGTGGATCCGGAAAAATAAAAAGGAGGAGCGATGGATGTCGCTGCCTGGTGGCCGGCGCTTGTGCCTGAGGGTCAGGGGGTGTTCTAACCGCTTTGGGCTAGTCCATCGCTGGTCCAGGCGATGGCCATAGATGCCTTCTGAGTGTGAGGAGAGAGGTTGAATGGCCGAGAGACAAAGCAATATAACATCACTCAGGAAGGCTACCGCTGGAGCAAAACTGTCTTGGCCAGTCCAGCCAGTGTGCAAGCCGTGACGGTAGGGCAGCAGCTACTGCAGACAGCAACTCGTGGGAGCGGTCCTCTACGAACCAGTACCCACGAAACAGGTATAACTGGGCACAATATTGCGCCAACAGAATAAGACCGATCGGGCTCTTGTCCAGCAGAAAGCCTACGAATTCATCCCGCACACTGATCGGCCACATGTAAATGATGCCACATTGGGCCGGCTTTTCACAAACCTGCAAACGCCAGAATGCTTTTTCCAGACAGTCAGTGGCCTGCTGGTAGATGAGTCTCTCCTGCTCACTAAGAGGTTCTGATGCTATTAATTGTCTGATCGCATCTAATTGATCGCCCAATCCTGGGAAGTGCAGAGACTGGACATGGTCTCTGTTTGTCGGTTAGCATGCGCCAGATTACAGTATGGGGCAGAGCTTACTCGGGTGGGCCAGGGTCGGATCGAAAGTCTCTTAGAAATAACGGCGCAAGAGGACCGTTTTCAACGTGGGACATAAATGGTTGAAGCGTCATGATTCCCCTACACAGGTTGAAAAGGCGGATTATACTTTCCAAGGGGCGGCTATCACCTAGATCGGTCGGCGCTCCACAAGTCCATACCATGATCAGACTTGAGAAGCAGAAGAGTGCCTCGCAATTCTGTTTGGTTGGGTTTTGTAAGATAATACGAAATGTTTGCAGGCCCAGCGCCATGTGGAAGTTTGAGCTGTTCAGATAGTGGCTGTATCTTTCGGGTCTAGTGTAGGCCAAGTGCAGGGCCGACAGCGACAGGATGCCATGCATGAGGAACTCGTACGAATAGGCAATCTTCGGGACTTCAACCTGCCAGACACCACGGATCACCTCCCGATCAGACAGAGTCTTTGAGGCATAGATGCAATAATGGTGCATCAATTCGGGGTCCTGCGCGCCCCACTCGCGGAGAAAAGCAGATGCATCGGCGACTTGATGCTGAAAGGCGGCAATGGCATCGTCGATTCTTGATGAAACGGTCGGCGACTCGGACAATTTGCCCGACTGCGTACTGGGATACGGCTCGGGTTTGGGTGGGCGACGTTCAAACGTGCACGTCAAGTGTCGTTTCACGCAGTTGGCACATGGCTGAGCTTCATCGCACTGTGGGGATCAGCGGAAATTCCAGGCTGGAGAGCGGACAACGCACTTTGACTCGCCGAGATTTGCACTGGTCGCATCCGTTCCGGGACTTCGTATGGGCTCGTCGCGGAGGCATATCGAATGAAGTCTAGACTAGATAGACTTCCACACAATCCCGAGAGGAGTGGTGTAGGCATCGGACGTTACTGCGAGGAACAGGAAATATACGACAGACGAGAGCGGAAGCGAGAACGAGAACGAGGAACGCGTGCCGGTGATGAAGTTTTCGATCGAGTGGAGAGGCGGTGGATCCGTTAGTCTCCGCCCTCCCCAAAGATAGATAGCCCCTACCACAAAGCAGAGTTGGTACTTGTTCCTATTCTCCTGCTTATCTCAATCGCTGTTGACGTTTCAGCCTAGCCAGAAATACGTATTGAACCCCACCAGACTCCGATCCCAAATGCCAGGCACACTAAGATTAGAATAAACTTGCTGGGGAGCACTCGGCAACCCAACGAATGCCCTTCACGCAGGGAAGCGATAGCGAGAACGAGTCAACCATTTGAGGGCTAGTGCTATTTTCATACGTATATACTATCCTAGGCTGATGAAAATAGTATTAGATCTAAATTGGTTGTTATAAAGTTGACGACATAAATCATCCCTATTCCTTGAAGATATGCCAAGTTACCCCAAAAAGGCTGACATGAGTCGAAAAAAAGAGCTGGACGAGCAGTCATTTAGTCCATCGCATAGCATCCCCGTCATAAAGGCTCATGAAAGTTGAAACACTTCCTAGAGCACCAGTTTTCATCATAGCCAGTGATCTGCATGCCCGATGTCTTCATACGAGCTTTATCGCTACACCCCGTCTTTGGCGGCAGCAATTCTCTTCATAGCATTGTTCATCTTCATAACAGCCTACCATGCCTACCAAATGGCCCAAGCGCGAGCCTGGTATTTTACCTGCTTCGTGCTGGGCGGAATATGTTCGTGAAGCCGCATACGGACTTGCCGACTTACACTAACCTACCACACAGTCCAAGTCATCGGATATATTGCGCGTGCACTAGCACATAACAACACTCAAAGCGTGCCCATATACGCTATGCAAGCTATCCTAATTCTACTCGCCCCTCCTCTCTACGCTGCAGCGATCTATATGACACTCGGACGGCTTATTACTCTCCTCGACGCGGAAAGACTGAGTCTTGTTCCAATCAGATGGCTTACGGCGGTTTTCGTCACTGGAGATGTGCTATCTTTTCTTCTGCAAGGAGCTGGTAGGACATCCATTCGATATCTGTGTCTTGATCATACTAATATGGCTCTAGGCGGCGGCATCATGGCCAGCGGCACTCTCAGCGGAATGACCACCGGTGAAAACGTAATTATGGGCGGACTAGCAGTCCAGCTCATTTTCTTCAGTGTCTTTGTGATAATTGCGACGCTTTTTCACTATCGCATCCATCAAAATCCTACAGAAAAGTCAATGTCTACGTGTATTGCACGCAGTGGTTGGCGCAACCCCAATTGGGAGACGACTATGGTAGGATTATATATCGCCAGTATACTAATCTTGATACGGTCGGTTTTTCGCATGATCGAGTATGCTGGCGGGAATGATGGATATCTGATGAGCCATGAGGCTTTCAGCTATGTTTTTGATGCGATGTTGATGTTCTTTGCGATGATTGTGATTAGCGTGCTTCATCCGTCCAAGGTTTTGGGTTCAGGCAAGGAGGTGAAGGTGGATAAGAGGGAGAGTGTGCAGTTGCAGAGATTATATTCTAGTTGAGATTTCCACTGAAATAGATGTATAGAATGTAGGTATTTAGGGCTCGTTCGTTTCTTTTCCTCCCATGTGTTTTTGTGCCCTGCACTTTTGGTGAAACATCCTGCAACAATTGGCCAGGGATCTCATGGAATGGCCAGGCCACTCAATACAGCCACATTCCTCATCCATCTTCATGATGAATAGCTAGCACGTAGTCATTCCCATTTGCTTCCCGATCGTAGTGAAATCCTTCTGTCCGCTGATGCATCTTTGACAAATATTACCATCCCCGAATTCAATCCAGGTAGTGACTTGACCTCATATTCCATGCAGTCTACATGATTTGTCGTCTTCTCTTTCTTTTTCGATGTCGATCATTCTTCCCTTCTACACCACACAGCAAGTAAGCAATGGCTGCATCCACTGGTAATAACTTAAGGAGCTACGACACCCTACACCTACTATCCCCTCCATGCAACCATTCTATTGATTCTAGTGTACACTAGTACACAATCGGAAGACATTTACTAGGGGGCCTATAAGCAGCATCCCGTATTTATTGAAAGATACGATATGCGGCCATAAGACGGGACAATATATTGGTCGATTGATCAGCTCCTCTACTACGCATGGCTTGCTTCCTTTTACAACTCATCATAGCGGGGATGGCAATGTACTTTAAGTATAATAATACATTTTGCATTTAGCCAAGCCTATTTCATAGTCAGGTTACACCATTTAAATGATAATCTGGTCCAAAACCATCTCATGAAGAACGTTATCGGTAAAATTGATTGAGGATTATGTCCGCCATTGGCTAATAATCCCTACTTTATACTGCTAGTTTGACTGCGGAGCCAAAAATAAAGGCCGCCATCTCAAAATTGGCGGGGAACCTTCGCAAGTCCTGCATGGTATAAATCATAATGAGAATTCCAGCGAGTGACCGGAATACCCCACAGATAGTGGTCCACTACACAGATCAATGGACGACAGATTGTCTGAAATACTAATTTTGGGGTTGAAGAACCCACCACCGATACGCCTCTGCATCAATATATCCTCTATTAATATCATGTCGCCCATATATGACCCAAAGTACGAAGGTCTCTGAAAGGACTTTCCAGCGGTTCCGGAGTTGCCAACCAGGCTGCCATAACTGCAGATAGCAGGGCAAGATGAAGGTCGATTTTGTTGATGTTGAGACTGCACCTCAGAGCCTAGCAGTGGAGGAGTCTCAGGGGCTGAACCAAGGCAGCGTCGTTTCTAGATCTTGTTCGCAATATGGGTATCTAGTACATGATCCTGGGCATTGTCTGGGGTTCGGATTGAAGACATAAATATCCTGTCGATACCTGGGGAAGGTGACCTTCTTTTGCCCTCATCTTGATGAGTCATGGCTGAGTAAGCACAGTTCCCGATCAACTAGTTAGTAGATGCCTGGGGCAGGACCACCCCTGCCAAACACCAAACATCATTGCAGGGAAACAGCGCAGTCCATGCCACGTCAGAACAAGGCCCGTGTCCTTTTGATTAGAAACATTAAAAAAGAGAGGAGGCTCCAAAATGAAGCGAAGTGCAGAGTATGCTTTTCCGGCAAAGGACCCTTGCGACAAGCAAATCAGATCTTGGCGGGATTCAATTCCTGACACTACTGCTAGCCTTCCATTAACGGAGGAGTATCTAGCACAGTTCAATATGGCGTCAGGAGTGAACCCAGTGTTCCCTGCACCTTCTAGTGTCACATCCACCTCTCGGTCTCGATCCTCAAGCCCGCAGAAGTTGGGCGAATCCACCTACCGCTCGCGAACACTATTCCGTGCAGGTATTTACGTTGATGTTGTGAACGTGCCTGAAGAAGTACAAGACCGAATCAATACCGCTCTTGGAACCCGCACCGCGGATACTGTCACCCTCTCAGATTTAGCATCAAAGCTTCAACAGAAATCTCTAAAACTCACCGCCGCTCAGGCCGGTGAAGCTGATTGGACCTCGCTCTTGCATGATATCATGGAACAGTTGATGCCCTCAGATCTACTACTCGCACAAAACAGAGGTACTACATTTGACTTGTATAGCCAGCCAACGTTGCGGAGCTGACAATGTGTCTACTTAATAGATTGGCAACCTGACCTAAAACCAAAAGTCCACCAACCGTCTTTCCCCCTGCCTTCTGTGCCCAGAAAGCGGCTATGCGATCAAGGCGGAGGTCAAGAATTAGGGTGTTCCCAAAGCAATATGCCTTCGGATCCCAATCCCCCAGACCCCGCAGCCCAGACTGTCCGAAATGGAGGGCAAGGTGAATTGCAGCTCGACGTTGTTCCTGAATCGAGTCCGAACAGATTGGCTCCAGCTTCGAAAACAGCATCCGGGCAAGCACCCATGACACCATTCTTACTGAAAACCCCGAGACCCGACATATGTGTAGGTATTGCGGATGACTCACTCGCGCAGGCATTACGATCTCGTCAGGTTGCAAATGCAAAGTATCTATTGAATGACCTCCAGGAGTTCCGTGGTCTTGTTAGCGACCCTGGAGTAACCCCGCTCTATTTACGCTTCCCGTTCTGCCTTGTCGAAGCGAAATCCGGTGCAACAGGCGGCAATCTCTATCAGGCACAAAATCAGGCTGCGGTTGGTTGTGCATCCGCCATAGGAATGCTAAAGCAACTTTATAAGGCGTGCGAAGTGCCGCTGGAAACCGCTTCTGGCCAGCTGCTTACCTTCTCTGCCTCCACGGAAGGACCTGTCTGCGAGCTCTGGGCTCATTTTTGGGACGAGGCTGACGCCAGCTACTGTATGGCCAACATTGGCATTTGGCGAACGACGCATAAAGAAAGTGCGTTTGATTTTATAGCTAAATTGTCCAGTATACTGAATTGGGGATCGTCGACTTTTCAGAACAGCATAGTGGAAAAGCTGGTCTGCCTTGGTGGTCATGATACCCAATTTGCACGAGCGGGTTCATAGGATGGGATTTTAAACCTTGTACGGTCTTAGCACCATAGCTTATGTGTATTAGTCTTTTATTGTTCCCATGTTATCAAACTCATATTCTTTTACATGATCGAGCTCCCTTTTGCAGGTGCTTCACAGTTTGGAGCAAGGAAGATGGCACTGGACGCCCACAAATCCCATAACCTTACAGTGTACATACGTAACCCACTAAGCACATGGAACTACGTGGACTGCAGTATAGGAAGATTATCACTGCAGCTTAATATAACTAAATATATAATAAGAGCAAGATGTGGTCATACATAAAATTAAAACTATAAACCATTGTAGGAGCTGCCTGTGAATTATTTAATTTTCTCTTAGTTCTTCTTTATCTTATTTCTAAGATGCTTATTTATCTTGATTATATATATATATTCTTTTCCTCTGGCTTAAACAGGGTTTATATAAGAATCTTCTACTTAGCATTTTCAGCTTCTATTCAAGTCTACGTGATTATGGCTGGGGATGGGCTCTGCTTCAGACTGAAGTTTGGCCTGACAAACTACCCGAGAAAAGCCTGTTTACAACATAAACTCGGCGATGTAGCGCATCACATATACTCATTAGGCGACTCACTGATCACTGTCATAAACTAACTGCATCCCTATAAATATATATTCAGCTCTGAGAATATCCACTACTGAGCTGTATAATTAATATTTTATATAAATTTAATCCTATCTTAAAATTTATCATAATCTACAGCAGTATTATAATAATTTATAAAGAGCTAAGGGAACTCCTTACGAGTAAAGATTTAAATTTAAGATCAAGAGTTAAGACTGATACTGAAGCCATTACTAAATTAGCTAAATATATTTATAATAAGAATTAAGAATTCTATAATTAAATTTATTATTTTTATTAAGACTATTATTCAGGAGCTTAAAACTATATTCAGTCTGCTTATCAAATCTATTTAGTGCTCTCATGAAATTATCACCGCCTGTAAGGGCTCCCTGTTGGTTATTAGGATTCAGACGCAGTTATCCCCTCTTAACCACTGTTGTTATACAGTGCGAAATTCATCCATTGAAATTCCAATATCTCAACCATAACTGGATGTTTGTCTTGACATGCAGCCAAATGATTACTTGGCAGAAACAGCCCAAAGCCTATTATATCTATCCAGGTATTATTGTCTTTGCTGTCCTCTTGGAGCCGCTAAACCCTGGTATTATGCCACTATCGAATGATTGTCCGTCGGGTAATAGTCAAAATTGGAGTCGGGAACGGTCGTTATTTACATCAATCTGGGTATTTTCACGGATATCAAATGACCAATCTGTTTTGGTCTCAAGAGAGATACGGGACAAGATACTACTCTACTAAGTAGTCTATTGTCTATTTGGGTGTGACAAGTGACGATTAACTTTGGACTGTTATGACAGGAGATCTAATCCCACTGGCGGAGCATATCTGAAAAGAGCAGAGACTGACTGGGGAGATATAGCAGTGGTCGATAGTCAGAAGGATGCATATGATGATAATAGGATTGTCAGAATTTACCGTATTAGGGCACAGTATTGCTCTGTTCCAAATCCACCTAACATAGTACTACTCAATGAGCATCAATCCTAATCGATAATGATCAGCATAACAGACCGCACAAGTAGATTATGCGACACTTGCTTTTATCACCCCACACCAACTACCCCTCATGCTCATGCCAGCAACACACGAGAGACCCAAATGGCAAAGTCGCCTCGACACCAAAGCCCGACGCAGGCAACAACATCGGGCTACGACATATCCGATGTGATACGTTTAGAGGAGGGAGGATTTCCACGGTTAAAGATTGGGAGGAGTTTAGTGGGGAATCTGTGGTTTAAATCAAGGGGGGGATTATGGGATGGTTATGGGTGATGACTGTAGTGGTATGCAGCACCGGAGTCAAAATATAGAAAGTGTCGGTGAATTCCCTCAAGGGGTTGGATGGACGATAAAGCATGGTAGTGTAATCATTGTAGGTCACCCTACATCGTATTCAACAAGCATTATGATAAGTAGTACTGGACATGACGTGAAAAGACGCTTAATGAATGGGGTCATATCACATGATCAGAAGGAGAAAAGCCCCGATAATCAAAACAGCCGACACCAGACACAATGGGAGATGCTCACACCCTATGTCATTCCGGCCGCTGCCCGTACACAATGTGCACTTTCGTGTACAAATGGTTATTCAAGTCGCGCAACTCCTGTTTCATGCCGGCGACAAAAACTTCAATCTCCGTTCTTTCCCAGCCCATCACGCGCGTGAACAGCGCGTAGCAGTACGGGCCCAGCGCCTCGAACATGTTGACTTGGTGATAGCGACCGAGGTCTTTCATCTTGGGGTCCTTCGGCCAGGGGCTTTGGGGGAGCTGCGACCGTCAGTATGAATATTAAACCACAATGTGCCGGGAATAATACCTTAAAGATCTCTTCCCGGACATTGACGAATCCAGCCTTTTCCATCTTCTCCTTCCAGCTGTGAACACTGGTCATGTCTTTTCCATACTCCCGCGCGCAGTCATGCATATAGACTATACCCTCTAGCAGATTCTTGGCCCTTAAATGTGTATCGTCGTCCGAGTATGTGTTGACCTCCATGGAGGCCATTTCCATCCATCCTCCCGGCTTCAGATTTTCTAGAGCTTGGCGATAGAGGTTGTCGATATCGCGAACGCAGCCTTCTAGCTCCCGACCGTGGATATAATCAAAAGGTTTGCTGTAGGACCACGGTTGCTCAAAATCATCGACTTCGAATCGGCAATTCGGCGGAATCCTGCACGGTCAGTGGCGGGACCTCAATGGCAGCTGGCAACACCTACCAGGACGGTTGAATTGGACTGAGATCATTTCCTGCGTCATCTTGTCAGTGATCCATCATTCCTAGTCGTGTCGCTCATCGTACCGATCACTTCTGCCTCGGGATGCTCGCTGCCAGCACGCAATTAGCGCAATTCATTGTCAGAGGTATCACATGTCCCCGCTTACTCGGCATAGTCGATCGCCCAGATTCCCGTTCCGGTTCCAATGTCTAGTACGCGCGCGGGATTCTTGATGGGCGCTCTGTTCAGCTCTCCCTTGAAGAGCATGCGATAGATGTGGTGGCTCTGTTCCGGTCAACGCTGAACTCGCCCGTCGGGTTCAGAATGCGCCACTAACCAGGTCGAGACGATCTTGTTCTTGTTCATCATTGGGCTGTGAGATCAGCAGGGGCGATGCGACGTGGATGATCGAATGGGGCATACCAGGACGTATTCTCCCTCGTGGTAGGAATGGTATCTGCGACCGTTCTGCGACACTTAGCCGAGGCTCGAAGGGTGGGTGCGGATGGGTTCCTGTACCTCATATCTGGATGGGTTAGTTGTCGCAAGGAGGAGTGGCGGAACAAGGAGAACCTACGCATAGTTCATGGCACTGGACGTGATGCTGGTGGTGTAGCTGGCGTCGCCCAGCCTGTGATTGCGGTCAGCGCGAACCGTTGGAACCAGACGTCGGGAAGGTCGCGGGTAGGAACTTACGAGCCGGGATAGGTGGAATCATTGTCGCTGAAGTTCTGTGGTGGGGGGTAAACAAAGTTAGAGCTGACAAGAGAGCAAAGTCAAATTGAAGTTTGGGGGGATGGAGAGATACGCACATCAGGTTCAATGACGCTGGATTCCGGGGGAGGAGGAGGAGCGCGGTCGGAACACATGGTGGATTGAGAAAAGAGGGCGATGACGGGCGGGCGATGCGGGAAGGGATGGGATGGGAAAAATAAGTTAAGAGGGTCGTCAAGTCGCTCTCTAATGATATCGTAATAATAAGCAACGGTGATCAGATCACCCACTAATTAAGTTTCAATGCCCCAGAATAATAAATAAATAAGATTTGTCGAACAAGGAAACAAGGTGCGAGTTTCCAGAACACAAGAAGAAAGGGGAGGGATGGGGGTAACCCGGTGGAAGTTGATTTCCCCAGGGCTAGACTGACGGCGGACTAGAAGCCACGAGAAAACAAGGAAGAAGTACAGTACCGAAAGCAACTATTCCAACCGCACGATCAGATCGAGATTAGCACACCGGGGAAGACCCAATATGCGACCGGGGGGTGGAAAAGGAGTGTCTTTACCCAGTTGAGTAAAGTAGAAGGGATTTAAGGTATGACTTTGACTCGTAAGTGGTGGGATACGCCGTGATGAAATGAATACTGGCAGAAGAGCAGAGTATTCGAGGGATAAGCAGGACAAGCATAAATGCCAATGGACGAAAATAGGTTGATGATAGAAATGAAAAACAGAAAAAAATAAAAGGACGTGTCTGCAGCCAACACCTTTAGATTAATTAAAGAAGCGATGAACCAGGTCCGAGGTCAAGCTGGTCAAAAAAAAACCCCCATGCGCGATGACCGTTTTAACCCTCAACCATTCGTCCATCGGTGTTCAGGGCCTGTAAGTAGGACTAGTAAGGACTAGTAGTGTGTACAGTAGTGCCCGAGAGGACTAAAACTCTCGGGCTTCATTTCATCTTCCACCCTCCTAACCCAGTCAGTCAGTCCTTGGCCGACTGGCGGTCGCTTACCGGGATGCAGCAGGGCAGCTACTGGCGAAGCAACAGAACAACAGCTGCTTGTTGGTCCGTTCGGTTGACGCTGAACGACTATCCATCCCACTAACTCTCCTTGTCCGCCTATCGGGGCCAGCCGGATTCTTCTCCGCCTGCATCGACTTTTACTTGTTACGAGGAGGTGTTCTAGTTGCATGATGAGGTTTGATTTCTATATTAGTTATTTTATATATCATTTATTGGCTGATTTAATCTCTCGATTTTCATCATATAGATATCATATACTCTGTGGATATCCCAGTGTATACACACATCTCTCGAATCTGCCCTAAGCAGTCTGAAGAAAAAAGGAGAGCGACACATGGCTATCCGCACTAGTAGCCGACCTCGACTCCTCCCTCCCCCCATAATTGATTGACTGGGTAAAAGTCCCGCGCAGAGCAGAAGAAAATGATCAAATACAGCATCGATCATCATCACTACACCTGGACTAGATCGACATTGGACCTGTTCTGCACACTCCCCTGCAACGAATCGCCATTGCAGCTCCAGCGGACCCAGAGTCTTTGCCCAGAGTCTATTTCTTGCCATGTGCCATGACCCTCAGGCTAAAGAACCACGTCAATTCCCTGAAGAATCTCTTTATGGGCAACTTGCCATTCGGAGGCAAGTTTCTCCTGCTGCTGCTGCATACACAAGTACTACAGTGTACTTTTTTGCACTTCAGCCTGCAGCTTCCCTGCCAGTGCCAGCTCTCCACGCATCCTCTACAATCCCTTCATCGGGTTTAGTCGATCGCACGGCCATCCGTCGCTGCCACGATCGGGGAATCCATTCATTAATTAGTATGTCGGCCGAATGGAGACAAGAGTGGCGGGCAGCAAATTCGATGGATCGCGCACATCACATTCCCTCAAATTTGAACTAGTAGAAAACTATTAGATATAACTATCCAGCTCAAACCCCCCTCGGCTGCCTTCGTATGCCTTGCTTTTCTCCCGCCCTGCGTGGTTGATCCATTCCTCGCCCCTGGATGGTCACTTTTCTCCCTCTTCTTCGACCAACTGACCATGATCTTCCCTGTCTCTTCGTCTTGAATAATAGAAAAAACCCTGCTGCCCACCGGGCCCCTCAGACCCTCCAGCGGCTGTGGAGTTGCCTCCATGCCTCCACTCCACTAGATCCAGATTCTCACCAATAAGCCCCCCCGAGAGAAGTTCTTCGTGCCGTCCGTCCATTTCGCCATGTCACCGTCGATTCTTCAGGCTTAGCAGTCGGGTCCACTCCTTTCGGCTCGTCCCATGCTCTACGATCCTTCACCGTTATGCCTGCGAGTCTACGTTTTGAGTAACCACAGCACCTCGCCTGTCGCTGATCGGCCTAAAGAGTGTTCGCGCTGTTACCCTGCAACAGTGGCATGACAAAGTCATCATCGTCGCTGCATTGATTATTGAATTCGCCTCTATATACTATCGACGGTTCCTGGTTACCCCAACGTCGATCTGCCAGGCAATAGACAATCACACGTGGTTCTCAATATCGCAAAAGTCATGCTGGACGACAGGAAAAGATTTCCGATCGAAGAAAAGAACAATTTCCACGTCAGCCATGACGTTTGTCGAGTTTCTCAGCAATCGCCACCCATGCCGATTTATTCCCGGGGACTAAGAATTTTCGTGCTAGTTTCTGCCTGGCACACATCCTGGTCGAATGAACGTTGATCTGGCGGAGATGGATGGACCAGCTGGTTAGTACTTTGGTGCTAGCTACAAAGTACCTCCGAGCCCTCCCCGCCCGAATCCCGAACCGACTTTCCCCGTATTTCCGTGCGAATCAAGCGCAAAAAGGGTTTATGTGAGGTTAATACGCCTACATACAACAGCAAACGGCCAGGGATCGCTCTTGCCCAATCTGGCATTGTGCTGGCTGCGTTTCCAGTCACACGCCACGACACCCTTTGGCCGCTCGGGGTCACGCAATGCCTGTCAGCCCATCTCTTGTTCGCGCCTCACCATCTATCCCTATAAGGTTTGAGTTGCATCGCAGTTCTTTGTTTACTCACAGCCATATAGGAGACACGACGGTCAGAACTGGTAGCCACAGGTGTTTGCTAGCACCTCACCGGCGGTCTCTTTGTCAGGGACGGGAAACGGCCCGAACCACTGATCGTGATGAGCCTGACCTTAACATTCGTTGATATACCTTCATTTGCGGACTTGGAATTGAAGGAAGGCATCATATCTCAGCTGATTGGACCTCCCCCCAGCCGGCTCTCCTCATTTCAATAATTCACTGAGGTATAATCGTGTCCGGCCTGGATGCTCCATCAAGTCATTGCTCCGAAGTCTAAAGCGCGCACGCATCTGTGCGAATACGCCCGTCCTCAGGTAAAATCAGTACAGCTGCCGGGATATTTCTGGCCAAATGTCTGGGATTGTGCTCGGCAAGGCTGTTGTCTGACTTGTCGTGTCAACGACATACAACGGACTGCGAAAAGAAGTCGGAGATTTTACCGGCTCTACTATATCATCCACCAGTAGTAGATTTGTATTCAATGGCCGGCGGTTGACGCCGTTCCACGGCAATAGTAAAGACACTAAACATTTAGATCTTTCAGTGCAAAGGCAGTCGCGTATTAATTTTTCAGTCCGTGTACTCCGGATCACATGAGCGAAAGCGCTCTTCTAGACCAATAACAGCCGATGGCAGTTCAAAATCTCCTGGCCAGTTGAATAAGTGTGCATGCCTCCAAGCGCAATTCCAATGACAAATGGTTGACAACCCACAGTTATTGCAAGAAGCATTGCAGGTGACAACTCGTGCCACTCACCGATAAAGGAAAGAGACAAGCAAGGGATCCTGCTGGTTCCTTGGTTGAACGACGATCGTTCAGCTACCCGCACCCCACGAACCAGTCGGCCAACCGTGCATGTTGTGCAGCTGGTCGCATCACATACTAATTCATCACGCATACTAAGTACATCCGGCATTTGCGCTCGAAGAAAAGAATAAACAAAAACTGAAAAAGATAAAACACATATGCGTTAGCTGGGAGTCGAACCCAGGGCCCAACCTCACTATAATCGAATCATGGAAGGGTTGAATGTTACCGTTACACCACTAACGCTGGCAATAGTACATCTTTGGCACTTATGATATTATAACGTTATGGATATAGTTAAGAACAAAGCAATGAGTTAACTTTCGGCAGTTGCTCAGGAGTATCCCCGGGATCCATGGATTCATCGAGTTTAGACTATCCGATCACCCAGCGGTCAATCACTGAGCGGATGCCACGTCACCCGACGAACCGCCAGGGATTCATTCAAGCGTGTGAAACCCGAGACTGACTGACAGACAAGAGCTAGTCTAGGTACTGTACAGAGTAGACTCCTACCCTTTTGAACAAAGACCAAATGCAAGTACACACGGAGTCGTATGACATCCTCCGAACAAACCCTCCCCAAGAAACCACCACTCAACCACACCACCCCAACCAAACCAAACCTCACGGACGGCACGGCTCTTATCCCGTGCCTTCCCCTGCAAGAGCCAATCCATGTGGTTGACAGCCTGTGGAGACAAGGCGGGCTACTCTGTGACCTCGCTACGTACACTAGTCACTACCGTGTACACCGTTCGAGTTGATGGAGAACGAGACGACGCTCATTGCCCAATGCGGTAACAGGTGTCTGGGCGGACTTTTGTCTTCCTTCCTCTTCCCGTGTGTTCGACTAATCCTTCCTTCCCCTCCATCCCTGCTTGTTTGGGGGATATATCACTCTCGGCTTATTACGGTCAGATACTGCATGTTAAGCATGTTGCAGCTGCGGGTGACTAACAGCCAGCCCGTGACAACTAGTTAACTACAGTTTGTGATGAGTGAACAGTGAACAAACTGTCGAAAGTTAGCAGCACAGTAAGTTAACTAGCCTCGGATAGCATGCTAGTTACCGTCGGATACCTCTCAACTTCTGTTGGATGGAACAAAAGTTCCTACCAATTGCACCTACATCATCTTTAGTACCGTGGACTGTCAGCAGCATAAGCACCAAACTGAAAATAATCATAACAGTCCGTGCACCCGCTTATCCCACAGAGAGGATTCATTATCTCGCAGCTTAATGCAGTACGTACTTTTTCTAGTTCTGTGTGGACCAAATCTGCCGGCCAAGTCACGAGACTAACTCGATACGACACAACTCACTCTTTTTGTGATGGAGGCTGCAGCCCGCAGGATTCAAGATGCCGCTGGCGCGGACTTCTTCCGGTCTCACTTTTCTTTCGCTTCTTTTCTCTGCTCCTGTTGAAATGGTGACTGGATGGATTGGTCTGCTGTACCGCGCGGGGTATGGTCAAGTCTTGGCGTCCAGTGAGCTTGGTTCGAATACGAGATGTTGTAGAGTAGTCTGTCTAGTTGTGTTGTTCACCGGCTTTTGCGCTTGGAAGTATCTTTCTCTTACAACTATTGGTTGGGATCTTCCTATTTTGTTCTTGGTGGGGGATGGTGAGTGCAGTGGTGCTTGATACTACCGTAGATAAATGCATGCTTATACGACATGCTGCTTATAGTGATAAACTAGATGATGGGTATGACGAACGGTTGCTTAAAGTGGATTTTACCCTCGAGTCCAACCAGAAGTTGACTATGTTTACCAACAATGATCACAAGACATAGTTTCATGCTTGGTAACTTAGAGGAATATTCTCCGAAGAATAACACATATGGCAGTTCGCTGCTATTCATGATGACTCGGCGGATATCTATGAGTTGATTACAGAGCCTTGAGCTTCTTAGACATACTGTACCTTAGGTCAATTGAGAGAGCTATCAATCTCCTGATCTACCTACGTAATTCTGGTCGGAACTATGGCATCTGACTATTCACTGTCTTGATATATCTGCTGTGGACTCCATGTCACCCCTCGTAGCATATTTAGCAACAAACAAAGTGATTCTAATATAGTCAGTTACTGGGCACATCTCGCACGAATATATATCCATTAATCAAGTTCAGTACTGATTAACTCAAAGCCAACTCAGCGTTTTTCAAGCTACTTTGCGATCTGTCTGACTCGACCAGAATTCGCCCGCCCCTCGTTCCTGATGTGCGCACACAGCCTTGACATAGCACTCCATTGACAACGTATTTTGGGAAACCAATCGCGAACTTCAAGTCATGTTCCTGGACATCTTGCAGACATGTTTGATGATGTTGTTAGTATTCTAGCCGCGATTACCTACTGAGTTCAATAAGCTATGCTGATCTGATCTGTATTGCCGGACGAGTCACTCGATTCCAGTGTGCACATCCGCAGCAAGTATTCTTTTGATGGAATGCTCAAATAGAGTATATAGTACCAGGATAAAAAGGGTATACTCGATCAGCCTAGTCCATCATGTATAAATCAGAGTTGGTGTCATTATTGTACGAAATTCAGTGCTCCGTTCCTCGATGTAGGGGACTAGTGCGCAGCGTTAAGGAAGGCTAATTATATATCATGGTGCTTGCTCGTTACGATGACCCTTGAGGTATGTAAAGTGGAACGACTAACTCGACCCATCTAAATCGCATTGTTATGTTCTAGCAAGCTATCTTCTACATCGCAGCCCGCCGTCCTTCGGCCTGCTACCTCTTGTCACTTGCCTCTATCACAGTATTGTGAGATAATACTACGAACTATAGATAACTTTTCTGTATCTTCAAGAATATCAGTGTTTTCGCCATGAAGGTATTATAGCCAACCACATTGAAAGAGGACCACTCTGGATGTGGAATATGCTTAAGTATGCGAAACCTCAGGTCAACACTTTCTGTCATAGCAATGCTGCGTAAAGCTATGGGCATTGCTAGGAACATTCTAACTGGATAGATACTGGTCGACAACTACCAGAAACACGATCCACGTGTCGTATTTCTTTCTTCTATCCATCGTAGAATGTAGAATGGTGTTGCCTGGTTCTCGATCCACCCAACGGAAAAATATATATTTCCCCAATTTAGTCCCGCATGAATCACAGACAAATGTCTCGGAATTCACACTTACTAGCATATAATAGTTGTACCCACACCACTGCCCTTCGCATTTTCACTATTCACTGAACAAGTTCTCTTGTAAGTGATGTTGAGGTCTACGGGCGATTCCACCCAAGTGCGCATCCGTAAATGTGTGAGCGTTTCTAGGAAGTCCTGGAGAATGTCTTCTAACATCTATCTTTGAAAATATATGCTTGATCTACGGCTTCTAGATATTATATATAAGTATTTGGGATGTAGCTCTCAGATGCAAATAGCATGCGAACTCACATTGTTGTAAATGCGCTTTCGGCTTCCTTCAATAGCTTCCAGTGGCATGAACTGTACTTGTGACATATATATACTAGTACTTGCCATAAACGATGTGAGGATCTGAGCTCACATAAATTTAAGCTTATAAGAGATGCGTATTCTGAGTATGTTGACGCAGATTCCTAGTCTTTTACCGGATAGCCTAGCGGTATTGAATTCCGGAGAACTCACTCACGCAGCGCACCAGGAGCGGGTCCTGACAACTGGGCCAGAAATTGTGCGTATTACTTTCAATTGGAGCGGTCTGGGGCTTCAGCTCGAAGAACTAGTTTCTAGCGTGAGACTTTGTTTCAAAGCACGCCAGAATATTGAGACAATGGTCCATCTAGATGAGGATCGAGAGACAGTAATCAGTCTATATTTAGATGGGAGACAGTTGACGGCAGTATCCTGCACCACTGAACTTCTCTAATACTAGCACAAGCTTCACAGACTAGCATTGTTGGTGCCTGAGGGCCAGAGCAGACGTACATATATCCACAAAATACGACAAGGGGGGGATTCCACGCACCAATGTAGAACTTCAATCGCATTGGCAAGATGTAAGCTTGTAAAGGCTATTTGAACCATATAATTTATGATCAATTGAATTAGATAATCCCTGTCGAATTCATACCGAGGTTACGAATCTGGTTCCATTGTAGGGGCAGCAGAAAACGTGGCTCACATGTAAGCTTAAAGGTTATCCAAAGATGAACCACACCTACCATTGAACGCAGAACAGGCACAGCCCAGAGTAGAATAAACTATGTATGTTTCCGTGGTTCATCGGACGATTCAGCAGACAATCATTGAGCTCACTCCACACCACTCCGGTGTGTTTGCTATGGGACAAGGCTGACGGAGCAGCTTACGTACCACAGCGGAAGTGTCAACCTCGTGCCATCGCACGTCAGGAAGCTAATACTGCAGATTAAGCTACACCTTTGCTTCATGTGGAAGTCAATTCCGATGATCAATGGAAGTGGACGCTTAAATCCGACCTTGGAGCCATGGCCCACCTTTCTGGAAGCTGGGAGAATGCACAGCTGACGTTGACATTCAAAACACTATCAGTAAAGAGTTATTAGTATGTAATATCAAGTTTCATCCCTATGGGGCCGAAAACTAGCAATACTTAATGCCCACGCAGAAAAAAGCACACCGGGAATGCGAGGAACCGACATCCTGCATAACTGTGCCTCGGAAGTTTTATTTCCCTCCTCTGAGACAGCCCCATTGATCGCTCAGAGAATTTATCCGATGGGATTTCCACAGCACGGTGTGCTGCCTATCATTGATGCTCGGACGGAAATTTCTATATCCTGATTGTTAAGCAGAAGCCTGTTCTATATTTATCACTCATGGCTGAGCTGCTCTTAGACATATCAAGCGCACTGAAATGGCGATCGGAGAAACAATTAACAATGGCCGCGATATCGATTCGTCGCCTGATTTTTGTGTAACTTTGTCTATTTTTACTCGGTGAAACAGAGTCTCAGCCAGGAACCGTTACGACACAACCAACACGGGCCATAACGCGGCGAGCCCCTGATCCTCGGGGCCCCCGTCGTTCACGAGCCGAGGTGATCGTTTAGCGGGACTCGCGGATCAACAGGCGCGACCGTGTTTCAGATGTCACCATGACAAGGTGGCTATGAGTAGTAATTCCAGGCGATGTGCCGTGTGTTAGTGTCATCCGGCAATGATGGGCCGCCAAGAGCGGTTGGAGTGCAGTGGAGAGAGACAACTCACTGACAGAGCATCTCATACCTACTGTGATTTATTACTACGTACAGATCGACCCTATTCCGACCGAGTCGTGGTTCTAGACCTGGGGGCTTGGCAACCGCAACACGACCTTTGCGTACATTCCAGAGGATGAAACACTGCATCAGGCACGGGCATGCCGGATCGAGCGAGACCCTGACAGAATTTGGGGCGGCCCCTGATGATGTGCGGACTCAAAGCGTCATCACCCATTTGGACCTGCCAGGAACAGCAACGTTGGAGCCAATCGCGGATGCAAATCTGGCTGCCTAGAATAGCAATTGCCACGGCCTCAGCCCCCGTGATTGCGCGGCCCATCTTTTTTGCGGCCAGGGGATTAGGCACTTCTATTGGCTGAAACCCCGGATAAGCCTTGGGTTTTGTGCAGTAGTGGAAGCTTGGCAGGCTGTTGCACCAATAACATCTCTCGATTACCTCAGAGGAGGGTGCGGGCCTGCTAACGTCACGGACCTGCTTCCATTGCCTCCCCCTCCGCTCATCCTTCCATCCCAGCCCGGGCGGCCGCGTCACAGACCCGGCTGGAAAGGCAACAAGGCTCGCAACCTCATGCCCATCATTGGCCGGTCTTGCGTGATGCTGCAGGTCAGCTTCCAAACTCAGTCGCCCATGCTGACCTTTTTCATGCAGCCGGGCTGCTTCTTGCATTTATAGGCCCCGTCTGGCATGTGTCTTCCCACCACATCCGACTCACTCCACCTTTTCCATCTGTCATCTCTACCTAGATTCTTTCTTATATCTTATCCGTGGTTCCTTCCTCTCTGGCCAAGATTTTAGCCATCTACCAACACGAGAAAAATATTCATTCCCATCCTATCACATCACAATGTCTGCTGCTGCTCCTCCTGCTCCCCCAGTTAACCCTGACCGGCCCGAGACCGGTCACTCGGCTGGCAAGAGTTCCTTGTCCAGCAAGTCGGACCCGAACCAGGCGTTGAGAGGTGAAGAGGCTGGTATGTGAACATAGCAGTGGCTTGTCTGATCTCTTGCTAATATGGTAAACAGTGTACAGCGTTGGATCGAGTGGATTCTCTCTACGCTCAATGCAGCATCGCGACCGCGAGGGCAAAGTCATCAGTACGTTTATCACATCGCCATCTCATCAGTTGAAAGAGATAAGGATATGCCAGCTAACTTGCATGTCTCTGCAGCTGAACCCGACTTGTCCAACCCTACCCGTTACCGATTCGAGCGGCCGCTGGACACCATTCGATCGTTCGAGGCAGCCATCGAGCGACGTCGTCGTGAGGCCATGTAAGATGCGACATGGCGTGTGAATATACTGCGAATTATGTTTGATTCTTGTGATTACGTTTGGGTTCGGCGCTGGACGACGTATGGATATGGACATGGATATGATTTGGTTTGATTGAGCGTGTATATTACTTTACTGGGTATGCTTCTGGAATATTACCTGCTATCTTATTACATACTCTCCATGCGGTGTTCGCAATGAAACCTAACTACAGCTCGCACTGATCGACAACTACTTGACTGTATCGACATCCCAAGACTTTTCTCGCTTCCGGACAAATAAAAAACACCCTCGCAGCTTCCGCTGTCTTGGCACGCTCATTATTCTCTGACCGACCAGCAGGCGAGGTCTTGGCCGTACATATAGTTTATCCGGTCCTCGACTCCGACCCATTGCTTGCCTCTATCCGGAGATAAGCATCCACTTCACCAAGACGCTATCTGCCACTACACCATGTTTTGGGATAACGTCCCACCCAATAGCCACTCACACTCACCGTATAGGGTCTTGTTTGCTTGGCTGAATATTGGACTTTTCAGGCAGCTATACTTGGCTTGATCTTGGCGTGTCGCAAAGGTCATGGCAGGGGCGTCGGTTACGGGGTGATTGAGTCGTGGGTGGACAGAGGAGAAGAAAAGGCTGCTGTTTAAATGTCTGGTGAAATCCCGGGGGTGTTTGAGTTTGGGATTCCGTCATTATAGTCGCTCGTTTGATATCAGTCGCTCTTTTATACATCCATTTTGTTTGTTCGTTACAATGAAACTGTCTCTGGCTGTTGGAGCAGCCCTGATGGGCTCTGCTCTTGCAGTAGATATTGATCCCATCGTCATCAAGGTATACCAGCTCAGCTCAGCGGAGATGTTAATCCTGACTAACAACATCTAGGGATCCAAATTCTTCTACAGCAGTAACAACACCCAATTGTACTCTCCCATTACCCATAGACCCTACTCATTCAACTAACCATCCCAGCTACATCCGCGGTGTCGCGTACCAAGGCACGTCCCCTAACCCTCACCCCCCAATTACTCCATCTAACACATCCTAGAGGACTACACCGGCAACTCATCCTCCAGCTACACCGACCCCCTCGCCAACCCCACCCACTGCAAACGCGACATCCCCATCCTGCAAGAACTCAACACCAACGTAATCCGCGTCTACGCCATCGACCCCACCAAAGACCACAGCACATGCATGAACCTACTCGCCGCCGCCGGCATATACGTGATCTCGGACCTCTCCAACCCAACCCAATCCATCGACCGCTCCGACCCGGCCTGGGAAACCAGCCTCTACACGCGCTACACGAACGTCATCGACGAGCTCATCCAATACAACAACACATTGGGCTTTTTCGCCGGCAACGAAGTCTCCAATGACGTCGCTACCACGGACGCCAGCGCCTTCGTCAAAGCCGCCGTCCGGGATACGAAAGCCTACATCAAGAGCCAAGGATACCGGTCCATCGGTGTTGGGTATGCGACCAACGATGACTCCGACATTAGGGACAATATGGCGGATTACTTTAACTGTGGGAGTGAGGACGAGAGCATCGATTTCTGGGGATATAATATCTACTCCTGGTGTGGGGAGTCGAGTTATACCAAGTCTGGCTTTGATAAGCGGACGGAAGAGTTTAGGAACTACTCCGTGCCGGTGTTCTTCTCGGAGTATGGATGTAATGAGGTCCAGCCAAGGAAGTTCACGGAGATCAAGACGCTCTTTGGGGAGAAGATGAATGATGTTTGGTCCGGGGGTATTGTGTATATGTATTTCCAGACGGATAATGATTACGGTAATCCCTGTCCCCTATCGCCTTTCTTCACTGCCACAACTGAGGCACCGTCAACTAATCACATGGATAGGCCTCGTCTCCGCCATCGACAGCACCAGCGTCTCCAAACTCGCCGACTTCACCTACTACTCCTCCCAAATGGCCAGCGCCACACCCACTGGCACAAACAAAGCATCCTACACCCCCACCAACACAGCCCTAGAGTCCTGCCCAGCTGTATCCTCTAACTCCTGGCTCGCGACATCCTCCCCGCTCCCACCCACCCCCAACGACCAACTCTGCACCTGCATGGACAACGCCTCCGGATGCGTGGTCAAAGACTCCGTCTCATCCAGCGACTACGCTGACCTATTCAGCACTGTGTGCGGGATGACCTCCTGCGATGGCATCTTGCATAACGGTACCACGGGCAACTACGGCGCGTATAGCATGTGCGGCGCAAAGGAGCAGTTGAATTTCGTTCTCGATAAGTATTGGACGGAGCAGGGGAAGAAGGCGAATGCGTGTGGGTTTGGGGGGTCTGCGACCACGACTGCTACGGTGAAGGCGACGGGGACGTGTAGTGCGTTGATGAAGGAGGCTGGGACGGAGGGAACGGGGACGGTTACGAGTAAGCCGTCGGCGACAGCGGCGGGAAGTGGGAGTGTGAGTGGAACAGCGGGTGTGAGTGCTGTTGGGTCGGCAGGAAGTGCGAGTCTGGGAAGGGGAAGTGTGATGATGGTTGGTGTTGGGACGTGGCAGGTGGGTGTGTATGTTGTTACGGGTGTGGTGGCGGGGTTGGGGATGGTTTTGTTGTAGATGTATATTTGGACAGGTGTATAGTGGATATTTTTAAGGAGAGAAAGCAAAGAGAGCGAATCCATACCCCCGACCAAATCACCTATTAGCGTAACCCCTCTCCCATCTGCCTCCCCCAAAGCACCCGATCAAACCGCCGCTCAACCAGCGCCTGCGCATCCCCCGCATACACAAACACCTTCCCACTAGCCTCGTCCGGCTGCTCCCCATCCTTGAAGAAGATCAAACAATCCACAACTTCATACGCATTCGTCTCATAACGCGCTAGTTTCTGCGCTTCTTCCTCGGACTTGACTAGGTACGCAGACCCCGATACCACTTGTCCTTCGTTCCCTTTGATAAGGGCTGGATAATCGCCCCATTTCGCAATGGCGTAGCCTGTTACTTCTGCTTTGCGGAGGCGTGGCTCCTCGGGTAGGTCGAGGATTCGAGCAACTTGAGCTGGGGAGGTTAGGGTTCCGTAGAAGAAGTAGTATATTGGGAAGGTGGGTGGGGGGTGGAGGGGTTTGTTGTCCCGGGTGAGGGGGAGTAGTGGGGTGGGTGGGGGTTTTCTGGTTAGAAATGGTTCTGGAGGTGGAGGAGGAGGAAGTGGTGGTTTGGCGGGTTCTTGGGTGTGGGGTATTTTGTTCTGCATGAGATGTATGAGATGGAAGTGATATTGATTGATATTAAGGTTTATGGTTTAGATGTAGAACGAGTGCAGGAGTGAATTGCTGCGTGTGAGCTACAACAGGCAACAATGATGGTAGTTTAGGCGGTGAAGGAGACGTAGTACTAGAGATCGGCCACATAAAGGTGCACGGAATCTCAGATAGCGCGGGTGGGCAGATTGCTGCGCAAGTTCACTGTGCATGATTGGCTTCTTAGGTGTGCACCTGTTTTGAATACGCCGAAGGGGGAGAAGATTGCTAAGCAGTTGTGGATGAGTTGATGGAAGAGTTGGCGCTTGCAGGAGTAGAAGATATTCCCAAGGATTTGAGCCGTGATTGGATTCATGCTCTCCCCAAGGGCAATCTGTACTATGGACATAATCATGTGAAAATAATAACTATGTCGTTCGATACAAATCAAGTTAACGCCGCTTCATTGATAGCAACTTGCAATCAGCACATGTATGGTGGCCCGAAGGCGCACGTTCTCCATTTCCCCGTCGCGAAGCAAAAACTGCTCAATATCGTTGGGTTTGTCAATGATCCTACAGACTGGCCGCTCGGACAGCCAATGTCGGAGCCTGCGACAAAGGACGAAGTTGCGCTCGTGTTTTCAGACTGGGGCCCGACAGTGAGGTCGATCATCGACCTTTTGACGTCGGAATTGGACAAATGGGCCGTGTTCGATGCGATGGACCATCCGGCCCCTTCCTATTCCCGTGCGAGAATCTGTATCGCGGGTGATGCTGCCCACGCTTCTTCTCCGCACCATGGTGCAGGTGCAGGGATCGGGATTGAAGATGCCCTCGCTCTATGTGAACTCTTGGACCGGGTTCAGAAGGACCGCATAGCTCACGGCCGGAGCGATCGATGGGCTCTGCTAGAGACAGCCTTCTCCGTCTTCAGTGATGTGCGGTAGAGCGATCTCATTGGCTTGTTCGTAGTAGTCGCGAAGCATGCGATATTTACGAGTGGATCGATCCGGCCTGTGGCCAGGATATGACCAAAGGCCATGAAGAAATCACCCGCAGGTCGCACAAGATCTGGTACTTTGATGTCGAGGGTATGTTGAAGGAGTTGGAGCATGGGTACGCACGGTCTCTTGCTAGGTAATGAGTAGTACTCAAGCTTTTTTTCCTCTAGAAACATGTATGGATTCAGCCTAGCTATCACCTAAATCTCCAATAGTCCTCCTAGATCTTCTCAACAATCAATTTCTTGATCTGGTCGGAAGTCAACTCCTTCACCCCCAGTAACTCATTGTCATTCACGTCATACGCGCCGCCGTAGGCGTCGCCGGCCAGAGCAGTCCCTCTAAGGAGCTTCAAGATAACTGGCATGGTATGGTCACCCGCAGCAAGCTGCTCCAGGCTTTCTGCCAAAACCGCACTTGTTTGCTCCTTGGTCACATCCCACTCAGTTTCAGGTTTGAGTTCCTTTGCATATCTCAACCACTCATTCTGAGTCACGATTGCCTCGGACGTGAAAACAGCCCTATTCTTTGTAGCCTCGAAGTTCGTCAGGATTGCAGCCACGGCCTTTCCAACCGTTGACAATGAGGTTGTGCTGAGCCTGTTATCGCCATCGTCCAGCAGAGTGACAGTGTGCTTCGCAAAGTCCAGGAAAACCGAAGTGGTCAAGAGGAAGTCCAAAAAGGCGCCGCATCCGAGGACCGTCCAAGTGATATCGCCGCCCGCGCTCTTTTCCCGGAGATACTTCTGGATCTTGGCCATGGAACTATACAACGGATAACCCTCGACTTTGGGGTTGGTGGTAACCGTGCCAAAGTCAGACGGAATGAAGCGCTTCACCCCGGCCGTGATGGCGGCATCAATCAAAATAGTTTGGCCCTCGATTGCTTCGGCGCTGACGGTTGAGACGACGGCATCGATACCTTGGAGCGCAGCGGTTAAGGAGCTGTGGGAGGTATAGTCGACTTCGAGGACTTTGACGTTCGAATCATAGGATTTCTTCGCACGTGCGAGTACAGTGACATCAAAGCCGGCATCGAAGAGTGCTTTGAGAACATGAGGCCCGAGGGTACCCGATGCCTAGGAAGGCGTTAGTACCCTATACACTTGTTGTGTTTGGTCGGGATTTCTTACTCCGGCTATCGCGACGGTTTTGATTTCCGGCATTGTGCTTGGAGAGAGAGCTTTGACAATTAGATAGATTTGATACGTGAGAAAAAATTGATGGTACAGAAGAGTCACATTTGACCAGGAAACAGCCTCTATTTATGCCTTTCTATCATCTCGGGCAAAAGTGGTTGTCAGCATGGCCTGCGGATCCCCGATGCGGACTTCCGCAAGAAAAGTCCGCACCGCTCTCCGCATCTCCGCACTCCCCCTCGCCTCTTCCGCTGGCCTCCGCACGCAGCGGACGCTCTCTTCTACACCTCTCTATCGCGCGATACCTGGCATTTGTGCCGTGATTCGAGCAGAGAAAATTAGAATGAGCTCGTCTGATCGTGGAAGCATCGCGAAGAAAGCGTGTACCCGATGTCGGCGCCAAAAAAGGCGATGCGACAGGGCTCTGCCAGAGTGCGGACTCTGCCAGAGGTGGTGATCACGTACCCCCCTAAGGTATCGCAGCATCTGTGCTAATACACTCTCAGACTCCACAAATCATGCACGTATGATACAGTGGAGCTCAACACCCCCGAAATCACACCATCACCTGCTTCTGAGACGACACATTTTGGCTGGGAGCCGTTGTCACCGGCGCAGATCAAACATGCCATCATCGAAAGGCTCGATTCTGCCACGCCGGATAGCGTTCTTGCCCGATACATCCGATCAATCAATCCTTGGTTTCCTTTTCTCTCTCACTTGGCACAAAGGCAGCTCCCATCGTCATGGCATGATGCCTCCCTCAGCTTTGCGATGCTATCTTTCTGCATCGTGATGCTGGATACCAGACCGCCACTCTCCGAAGGGAGCAAATGCAAGTCGTTGTATTTATGGGCAAAGAGCTGGACATCATTAATCGAGGGACTCGGAATCCACTCCCTCGAGCTTGTCCAAGCGAGAACGCTGATAGCGTTGTTCGAAGTCGTACATGGGCTATACCCAGCGGCTTACATCTCCGTCGGAGCCACAACCAGAGCCACCGATGCACTCAACATTCATTCTAGATATCTATCATCGCCAGACCCTCCAAATAATGGAACACCGACACCAGAAGTGGCCTTTATCTGGTGTGGCATCTATACACTTGACAGGTCAGTCATCCAGCCATGAAGGACTTTAAACTATCCTCAGCTGACCCTCGCAGATACATGGCAATCGAATCCGGCTCGCGACTTTCGCTTACCGGCTCAGTCACCCCCGACATCCACGATGGTCTTAGAAAACTAATCTGCCCCAGTCTCTACGATGAGGATCACACCAGTGCTTTCTATAAAGTCTCGAGGCTCTATGGGGCCGCTGATATCCTGGATAAAATGCATACTGCGCTCAACAACCCCACCGGAGATAGCGCTGCCGATGCACAACACATAATGCTACTACTGGAGACCGCCAGCAATCTCCAGGCAATAGTCACCAAGGACATTGGGTATACGGACGAGGTATATTCCGGTGCATTGAGTCTCTGCAATACGTAAGTCAATCCTTTCCCTCTTGTCTCGCAGATTCCTCCCAGTGGCAAGGCACACGCTTGTCTATCGCAATCTGACACCAGTATAGTGGACTCTTTCTTGCATACGAAAATGCCAGTAAACTCACCTTCATTGATGAAATCATTACGACGTGTAATACCATCGGTACGATGTCTCTGAACGACCTCCTGGCGACGTTAGCCGCCAAACTGGATCCCTTTGTCAACGGCACCACAATAGCAGACTTTGACCGTCTTTCCCCGTTTACCATGCTCATGGTCTATCGCGCCGCGGCACTCGTGACGCAAAGGCTGTTGGTTGAGAATACATGTCAAGACAATCTGAGGATGTTGCGGATCTTTAGAGGATTTCTACGCACAGTCAGCGAGAGGTGGCTATGTTGTGGTAAGTTGAGCAAGAAGCTCCGTGGTGTCGTTGGTTGGACGCTGACAGGACCTACACAGAGCGTTATCTCGAACTCCTTGATGAGAATACAACCCCGCGGCTCTTGAAATTCATCGAACAGGGGCAGAATACTGATTCCGGCAATACGTAATTATGTAGTGGCTTGTATGATAGTCTCCTCATGATGGTTACTTTGATTTATATGGCAAGCTTGTAGGAGAGGCTATGAAGACGGCATCATGTTAGCTTTCTGAGGCACAAATTCCTAGAATAGAGACGAGCATTTGGGTCTGTCGGATATTTGTCACTCGATAAGTTGTAGCGCGCACCGTGTTCTATGCGGTTCGCACCTCAAAGGTACATTTTCCTTGAGGTGGCCAGTGGGGGTTGACGCGACAGATGGGGATCTTATCGGCCCGTCTCCATCATCTCAAGGGACCACCCTATGCCATATCAAGCATTAGCAAGGCAGGCGATGGCTTCATTATCGACGATGGCTAGAAGCCGCAGGCTCGATGAAGCATACAACCTACGATAGCAGGTAAGCTTAAGAGGCCTGTTCCCCTGCCCTCCAAAAAAGCTGGTACGATAGCCCTCTCTCTCTTCTGTGTGAAGCGGGGGATCAAACTGCATCGAGCCTTAACTTCCCCTTAAGTAGCCCCCACGCCCAAAATAAAACGACGACCAAGATCTCGACAAAGGAGAACGCTAGGCTACCCCCAAATACCAGGCTGTGATATGTCCACGCATTTTCCGGGTTGAGATGAACGACCTGACACACGATAGCCCACGGAAGCACATAGAGCATGTTGGAGATCGAGGAATGCGCGAGATACCATGATGTGCGAGTTGCAAGAAGTATTGCAACAAATGGGATTGATAAGCCGTAAAGAATATAGCACCTACTTGAGTTCGGAAAAGGTGGTAGAAGAACATTCCAGGTGTGCATAGGGGTACTGTGCCCTGGTTGAGAATTCCACAGGCTTTTCGCTAAGCTTGCTGATCCGCGGTAGTACCTCGTCATGATGAAGTTACGAAAGATACAAGAATTTGTTGGCAATGCTGATCAAAAGTAAACATTCCTGGTATTATCCTCTCTATTTCTTTTCTTTTGTGTAATCGCACATCTACGTCATCAAATTTTTAGCCACTGTCTTCAAAGAGCCCCTCCTGATTTATGAGCCCCAGGCCCATTCACCAGTTACTTAGCAATTCATAGCTTTCTCAATACTATATCTTTCGGCGTTCGGTATTCGAAAATAGCGAGGACATTCGCGATTTTATAAGCAAAAACTTTGTCTATCCGTCCTTGTCTGTGGGTCGGTCCGCCGGTGAAGAATTATATAAACGCTCGGTCCGTAGTTCTTCATGTAAGGGGCAATAACATGTATGATAGATAGATATGTCCTCCTCTACTTTAAACTAGCCTTTGACCTTGGCAGGTAAGGTCGCCATTGTGACAGGTGGATCACGAGGTATCGGTGCTGCGGTGGCTATTGAGCTTGCCAAGCGCGGTACAAACGTAAGCAATAAACCCATCTCCAGACCAACTCTTCAACCCTAACAAGACTGCAGGTTGCCATTACTTTTGTATCCCCGAGCAGCGAGCGCCGCGCGGAGGAAGTGATCTCTAAGATAAGCGGTTTCAGAAACGGCTCCCGCGCTATTAAGATCCATGCCGATATGCACGACCTTGCAGCTCCGCAGAAGATAATCGCTGAGACGATCGCTGCCTTTGGTGATGCAATAGACATCTTAGTCAATAACGCCGGCTCCGCACAGGTTGCACCGCTTGGGGAGATCACTCCAGACGATGTCGCGGATCTCGTCAACGTCAACATTCGCAGCGTTGTCTTTACCACACAAGCTGCTTTGCCACATCTGCGCAGCCCTGGGCGTATCCTCAACCTTGGCTGTACACTGAGCCGTGTCGCGCAACCGGCTGGTAGCGTGTATACCGCAACGAAGGCCGCCGTTGAGGCAATGGCCCGCTGCTGGGCCGCCGAGCTAGGTCCCGCTGGTCACACTGTCAACAGTGTTGCGCCAGGTCTCACCGGCACAGACATGAATGCGCACGGCACCGCACTGCCGGAGCAAACTGTCGGGGTTTTGAAGGCGATGACGCCCATGGGGCACAGGCTCGGCACGCCTGAGGATATTGCACTTGTGGTGGCAATGCTCACAGAGCCAGCGAGCCAGTGGATAACCGGACAGACCATCCAGGCTTGTGGAGGAAATTATATGTCTTAGGATGCTAGTTGGACTCTCAGTTGTGCCCTGTCATGGATTTGTATCTGTGGAAATAGTATATAGAACGTATTTTTATTATTCTACGGGTTATTCTACAGGTTATAGTATAGTATTCCGTGCATACTACTAGTTTGCCATTAAGTACGCATGTAGCCAATAGAATGTTTGTTAGGGAAGTATAATAGCCACGAGTTCAAAATTTGTCAAGATGTAGGGTCCATGTCTGTAGCCTCCGACCCATACGTAGATCCTAAATCCGCAGAGGTGGGCTTGTTGTGAGTCGTTCACTACTATCTTCTTCTTGCAAGCTGGTACTAGTCCCAGCTATTCTGTCTGCCATGTCTGTTGCCTTAGAGATGGCATCCGAAAGTGTGGTGTCCCTGCCGATGGCACTGCGGGCTGCTAGGTTCTGTGAAAATCCTGCTGCATTTGGGGCAGGGCCGCTTCCACTACTAGGAGGGGAGTGTCCCGCCGCGCCGGATCCAGCGCCAGAGTGACTAGGGCCACCAGGAGCAGAGAGGGGGCAGGCCGTGGTCCTGCGGTGGGCCTATTTTTTATAGTATTTGGAGACCTTCTTTTGTTTTATCGAAATAATTGATCAAAGCACCTTTATGGTGGTTGCTGATGGTCCGCCATTGGACGAGGCGGATGCAGCCAGCGGTATACCAGTGTTAGCAGAAGCAGCAGTTCTAGCAAGATCTGTAATCATATTTGCAGCCGTTTCTGTCGTTCTGTGGTCGCTTGGAGCTGAGATTGCAGATTCTAGCTTGCTGCTTGGCCTGCACTCGCTGCCCCTAATAAGGCTACAACGATTGACCCTCAGTGTGACTTCGATGCTATTGTAGTCTCGGTTGGGATGACTTCTCTGGACACTGATTCCTGCAACTTCGCGGAAGCTAATGGACTTGATATCCTGTCCTGGCCCGAAGCTGGTGATGACGTGTCCGGTCTGTGTGGTGAAGGCAGCTATGACCGGTGCGCTTCCATCGGCTCCGTCAACAATTGCTCCTTCAATGATTGTGTCAGCCGGCAAGGAGATTGCAGTGCTGGTTAGCGGAAGGATATTGAGGTTGAAAAGACTTGAAAGATGAGATATAAAGTCATGGTCACAGAGAACGCAGTTGGTTTGAGAAATCACGGATCAGGCTGAGTGTAGTCTTGCAGGGATATTCAAGATACGTTGCTGGGTAGGCAAGTTCTACGGCTCTAATGACAGGCCGCAGCGGGGATGTGTTCCTGCAGGTAGGTTGACCAGCTGGTGGCCCAGGAGCTGCCTCTGATGCATCTGTATGGGGAGTGTCTTCTCGGCTTGCTGCATGTGTCGAAGGGCTTGACTTCATCTGCTCCAGAATGGGAGTCCCCGCTGTCAGACTTGACCTCGTTCGCAGCGCCTCCTCAAGTGTAGCACCGAGAGGTCGTGCAAAGATAGTGAATGAGGTCTTTTTCTCAGACTCAAGTTCGATCCGGTCCATGTTAACTAGACTTTGCTGAATCTGCGGCGTAAGAGCGGCTCTGGCGAGTGGGATCTGAAAGTGCCGGATCAGATTGACGTTGTTGAAGTCAGGCATTGCCAGTGGAACAAATATGACTTGTCCGTTTGATTGATGTTTTGGAATAAGGTCCAGCCTTGGTAACTACGAGAATGAATCATTTTTCTGTTGCGTTGTCCACGTGATTGCTATGTAGCTTTTCGCATTTATCCTGTAGTATTGCTTCCCAGTGTCATCCGACGATGTCGAACATCATAATCACGTATCCTGTCATGACAATAATGATGATATGCTTATGCAGTAGCCCATCAATATACAAGATGAGATGTATCTTTAAGGCGATAGGTCGTTTACGTATCCTGTGAGCACGATAGTGATAGCTGGTCAGCGAATCCTAGCAATAATCCTCCGAAATTCCAGCATACTTCAAGCCATAATCTGCAAAACCCACTAGAGGCACCATGTAAAGTGGAGACAGAAGCACGCAATATCCTTTCACAATTATATTATTTATTGCAGGGATAACATCAGCACTAGTATGTTCAAAGCTTGTTGGAGATAACGTTGAGACAAGTGATATTATGGCGCGGTAAGACAGATCCGGCCTAACTATGATCAGACATCAATCACGGACATATTGCAGGGGCTAGGTATGGATAATGTTGCATCCGATATAGTGTCTATGTTCGGAGTTCAGAACTAAGATCTTTATTTTGTAATGTGGAGGCAAGCATTAAGAGATACAAAAACACTTTTCGACTCTAGCTATATACATATAACATGCCTTCAAAACACCATCAACACATCTTTATATACAATCTATCATACACTCAAATGCAACAACTCCTAGGCGCGGCACAACCGACCATCCTCCAACTGAGTCCAAGCATCTGATCCAACCGCCTTAAGAGCATAAAACAGTCCGTTGGGATCATACTTGTTCTTGACCTGCAACAAGCGGTCATAGTTGACGCCGTAGAAGGCCTTCTTCCAGTTGGGCTGCTGGAAGTTACCCTCGTTCATGTACGCTCCAGAGTTAGGAGCCAGAGCCTCGAGCAGAGGGATGTAGTCGTAAGTCATCTTGTCCTGCTCGACAATCATCTCGGCACGGGCATCCCACTCCCAGGGAGTCGTCAGAGTAGTATCAATGAGGGCCTCACGCCAGGCAGGTAGGACAGCGTTGTCAACGTCGCCGGCAATAGAGCGGTTGACATTCAAGCCGACTCCGATAAAGGTGGCTCCGTCAGACACAATCTGGCGGTACGCGTCCGTCAAGGCCGTGGTGTTCTGCACCACAACCTCGCGGGGGATCAACCAACCGCCATACTGGGCCTTGCCGACGGCGATCTCAGCCTCCATAGTGTTGAACTCCTCGAGATAAGTATCAAACATCTTGGCTTCAAGAGTGTAGTTGATACCCAGCTTGCTGAGTCCAGCTTCGAAGGGCGCCACCAACGAGCGGAGGGTGGCAACAGGGACACCCGGTCCAGTGAGAGGAGAGATGTAGAAGGAGGTGTTGGTGAAGTACCAAACACTCATGACGCCAGCGTCAACAATGCTAGGCAGAAGGGTGTGGTACAGAGTGACAGCCTCGAAGAAGGTATCCTGAGTGATGTTGGAGTTGGTGAAGGTCAGGCTCAGACCGGAAGTAGGGGTAGAAGTGTGAAGCTTGGAAGTCATAGCCACGACAACACCATAAGTACCACCGCCACCACCACTGAGTGCCCAGTAAAGATCCTTGTACTCATTATCACGGGTAGCAGTCACAAGCTCGCCAGTACCGGTAACAACCTCCCAGGCGAGGACCTGGTCAGCTGCCAGTCCGTAGCGCGACGAGAGCGCAGAGTGTCCACCACCCTGAGAGTATCCACCAGCAATACCCACTGAGGAGCACTCTCCGCCTACGATCTGGTAGCCGTGGGCATCAGCGAACTCGTATGCCTCAAATCCCTGCACACCTGCGCCCAGCCGCACAGCAGCGCCAGTGTAGTGCGAGTCCGTGTAGTTACTGATAAGCGTCCTGGACTTCAGGTTGTGTGTCCACACGCCCAGACCACCTGCACCAGTGGACTTGCCATTGTAGTCGTGGGCGGTGTTGCGGATCACCAGCCGGATATTGTGGGTGTCGGCAAAGTGGAGGGTCGCCGAGATATGCGCAGGAGTGGAGACGTTTACGGCGTAGTCGATGTAGTTGCCCATCGTGCAGGGCTTGTCGATCGGGTGGAAGGGGTCACAGCTGCCATTGGCGAACCATGGGGCCATGACAGAGCTGCTGGAGGTGTAGCTAGTGGGTGAAGGTATTAGCAAAGGGGATGTGACATTGGGAAATGCACCTTACTGAAGCTCAGGCTCTGTCCATTGTTCCTTCAGTGAGGCACAGACTGAGGCATTGTAGTAGGGAGAGTGGCATGGCTTGCCCAAGGGAATGGTCTTGATGAGACGACCCTCAACAGTTTTGTTGAACTGAGCCCATTCGCTCTGGGAGGGCCAGCAGGCATCTCCAGGGAAGCAGCGGCAGTTGGAAGAGTTGCTGCTAATGGCCGAAGCCGAGGCTGAGGCCGTGAGGGCCAGCAAGCTAGTCCAGAGGGATGGTGCCAACATGATTGAGGGATAACAAGCTCTGCTCGGGAATCCCTCCGAGGAGACCGGGGATGGCCGATTTATATCCCTGTCGATAATGCTGAAACTCCTATGCCACTACCGGCATCTGTCGGCTCCTACAATCACTTACAGCAAGTGAAGTGGGCCTAGTCATTTCCGTTGCTCGTGAAGATATTAATTAGATTGCATGATCCCTGTTGGTTTCGGAGGACACATTTCGTGCAGTCTGCACACGTTTAGGCAGAGAAGTTTCATGGCAACTTCGACGCTATTCTTCCTGTTCGCCCACATGGTCAGCTGCATGGCATTTTATTTGCTCAAACCACCGCGCCGCTTGGATCTAGTTTCCAACGGTCTCGGCCAAGGTCTTCGAAATATACAAGCTCCTCCACCATCTTCGTCGTCCTATCATGCGAGCTGATCGATATTGGCCCAGGCTTTTAGTCTCTCCGCTTATTGACCGGACAGTGTTTGCCCCGCTTGGGGTCTACGCGGCGCGATTCCCCCGTTCCTGGCGGACGCTTAGGGCATCTCCACAGCGGGTCGTTAGTGTCTGTGTGGCGGCGACGGATTCTGGCACGGTTTCCAGTCCGGCGATGTCTTACATTTAGCTTCATTTCGCTTGCCAGGATTCGATCCATCGCGTAATCGCCAAGTTCTCGCAATTTCCTCGGCTTTTCCATATGGCTGACAAGGATTATGCCTGCAGAAGTGTGATTAATTAAAATCTCACCTGAAGATGCTTGGTATCTAGGGTTGGGGGATCTCACCCTGCACCGTGTGTGTTGGGCAGAATAATTTTTGTTTTCATGTCTTCCCAGTTTCTACGATCAACTGCAGAATGCCATGGGTTGGGTCCATAATCTTGCCCACCCGGATGCCCACAGCCATGTGGCGCGAGTGATCGCGATCTGCTTGACATTCAGCATCAGTGCGGTGATCGCCCTTTTGCTACGCTTTTATATCCGCTTGCATTCGAAACGTGCCCTTTGGCTAGACGACTACTCGGCGGCATGCAGTGCAGTGTTGGGATTAGCTTACGCGGGGATCGCAGTGGCCCGTACGCTGCCCTTGGACAACCCGAATGACCAGTGCAACTGACAGTTTAGAAACACGGTATGGTTTAGGACTGGATGCAGCTTCGTTCCCAGATGCGAACGTGGTGATGTTCAGTAAGGTCGGCAATCCTCTGTTTCCGCTCTTTGCCGTGGATTTCTGACTCCGGTGACAATTCAGATCCAATACGCCGGCGGCCCCACGTATATCCTCGCTATCCTCTGCTTCAAGGTCTCGCTCCTGACATCTTATCTACGGATCGGAGGTTTCGTGGCCACCTATCGATGGAGTATCATTGGCGTGGTGATAGCCGTGGTGTGCAACCAGGTTATTTTCACTTTTCTCTTAACACTGGCGTGCAATCCAGTGAGTATATTCCGGTTCACTGCGGGATCTATCTAACAAACGATTAGGTCGCGAAGCAATGGGACGCGAGTCTTCCAGGAACATGCATTGACACGGTTGCTTCATATTATGGTATGCGCCCATGACTATCATCATATTTCATACTGACAGAATAACAGCATTGGCCGGTACATCCATCCCTTCCTCTACCACCCAAAAAAATAATTCTTGACCGAAACGACAGGAACAAGCTTGGGCTTCGACATAGTCATTATTGCCCTCCCCCTCCCAGTGCTATGGTCCTTACAACTCCGACAAGCGCAAAAGGTCTCATCCGGTCCTCGCCCTCCCTTCCCTTCCCATTCAACGTGCGCTAACAAGTCAACCAAACGATAAAAGATCGCTCTAATGGCCCTCTTCGCCCTCGGATTCTTCATAACCATCATCCAGATTATCCGTATCTTCACCATCAAGCATCTGAAAACCTACACGGACAGCCAACCGATCGTCTTATGGTCGCAAGTGGAAATAAGCCTGGGAGTAAGCAACAAACCCGTTATCACCACGTCCCCTTGCCGCGCCTAACTAAACCCCCCAAAACCAGGTAATAATCGCATGCGTTCCAACCTACGGCCCTTACTTCCACGCTTTCGCTTCGACCCTTACCTCAAGCTACAACACCCGCCGCCAACGACGCCAACACGCCTCGCAAAGCCAGACTATGGATGCTGGCCGCTCGTACGCTTTGAGTGGGGTGCGTCGTACGCAGCGCAACCAGAGTCGCATGTTACCTTCTGAGACGGATGATCAGGCTGAGATCCTGGAGTTAGGGGAGGCCAGTGCTGGAAGAAACAGGCCGTGGGATAATTCGGTTGCGGTGACTACAACAATTGGACACGGTGATGGGGATAGTAGTGGCGGGGAGAGGAGTTCGTTGGGAAGTGGCAGGGGGAGAGGAAGTGGAGAAGGGAAGGATGGGGAGGGGCCGTTACAGATCCAGAGGGTCGTGGAGGTGGAGGTTAGGGTTGATTAGGTTTCTTTGGGGTTAGGGAGTAATCCGTGTATAGAGAAAAGTAGCAAGGTAGTAATAATAATGAAATTCCGTATGTTCTGTTTGGGCACAGCTTCACTGAGCAGAAGTAATGGTGGTTTGGGCTTATCTTTAGTACAATTGGATGCATCGATCCATCAGGAAAGAAAAAAATCGAGTGAGGATATGCCATCAACCGGAGGTGAAACAGAGAATGAAGTCTACTGTACTAAACCAGTAGAAAAACGTATCTCCTGCACGAAAAGCTATGAAAGCCACGGGTCGTCATTCCGGGTTGAGAATGCCTGTCAGAGAATAGATGTGATTCTCGAGATGGACCCTTTCAAGATGTTGGGTGCGGTGCGCGAGAGGTATTGTTCATGAGAACGACTTTTGTATCGAGTCTATCTCATACCAATGAATATGTCAATAAGAGCGCACAACGTAACATGCTCATTTCGAAATTGTGCCGTAAATGAAAGGGTTAGTGGCGGTGATATTACATTGTGATTTAATGTGTGCCTAGGCAAGGGAAGCCTTCGAAACTTTTACTGATCTGAAGCATTGACTACTATCAAATGCGATCATATAAGCAGAGAGAGAGGGAGAGAGAGATAGGAGAACTGGTAAGTGATAGACAGACAAGAGAAGCTAGTTGTTAGTAAGGAAAATGGAAGAAAAGACGAATGTCCCTCAGATAAAGTTCTGAGCCAGTCATTCTAGATTTTCCATATATACACTCCATTGTCGCTGCGAGTGATCTACACAGCCCCTACTTGGATCGCCTGATACTCCACAGGACTGAAAGATGGCAGTCAAGGCACCATACTCCAGTATCAACGGGATGTGCTACTTATGGCGTTATGAGTACTACGCGTTAATCGGTCTGTTCGCCTTCGCCAAGCCGCATGGACTATGTATTGAAACAACACTGGGAGCGTTATTTCCCCAAATCGCTAACATTTGTTTCCGAGAAAGATATGATTGAAACCTTCCCTCTGCGGTGGACACAGCCTGCGACAGTATAGAAGGATGTCAAGTCCACAATACTTGGGTCTAGTTATAGTCAGATCTAAAATATGGCAAAAAGAAAATGTACGAAGAACGTGCGAGAACACAAGGTCGCCCATGGCTTCTCGGCCGACCGCCGGAAAGAGGAGGTCGAGGGTTGAAAATTAACCCTCACAGGTACAAAAAAGCAAATATGCAAGAGGAAAGTCGCTCTCAGACGGTACCCTAGTCGTAGTATCATGCATTGGCTCAGCCTATTGGCGCTAAAATGATGATGAACTGGCTTACCCCACCAAACCGTTCGCCGTCGCCTTGCTCTTCGGCCTGTTCTCCCCATCTCCACCTTTCTCTGCCTTTGCAATATCGTCGTCAAACTCTACCTTCTGATATTCGCTTACAGACACAAGGAAGTGTTGGATTGGCAACGTTAGCAGAGCAACATGACTGCTCGTCGTTGGACGAGCAGTGACGACTACATCGTCGGCTGGATATGCGCCCTGCCATGCGAACTGGATGCTGCCCGACGAGCCCTGGACCAGGAATACGACTGCCAGCTGAAACTATCTGAGAACCATCAGAATGTATACGTCTATGGAGAGATCAATGGCTTTAACATTGTAATCGCATGTCCACCGTTCGCAGAGTACGGAACAACGCCAGCAATAATCACAGCCCAACACATGAAGGCCAGCTTCAAGTCGTTGCGGTACAGGTTCCTGGTTGGGGTTGGAGGGGGTGCCCCCAATGAATCAAACGACATACGCCTAGGTGATGTTGTAGTCAGTACTCCTATGGGAAACGACTCAGGGGTTATACCATATGACTGGGGAAAGAGATTGCCCTCAGGTCAGTCCCAGCAAATTGGGACGCTTAACAAACCGCCTCAGCCGCTCCGCAGAGCGATATCTTGCTTGCAAACAGATCACAACTTCAACACTCACTTAGCCGGATCCCTAGCCCCCATCCTGACATATGGCAAACGTATTGAGTGTCCGGCACACGATAAAGACCGTCTTTTTGCGTCAAGCTACACTCACCCCGACCCAGAGGTACCATGTGCCAGTTGTGATCAGACACAGGTTATTCCACGGAAAAAGAGACTTTCGGATTGCCCTCGCGTGCATTATGGGCTGATCGCCTCAGGGAATCAAGTGATGAAGGACGCAGTAACCCGGGATGAACTAGCAAATTCTCGAGGTATTCTATGCTTTGAGATGGAAGCTGCTGGATTGATGGACGAATTCGAATGTCTGGTCGTCCGCGGAATACATGATTATTCAGACTCGCACAAAAACAAGGATTGGCAGTCTTATGCGGCAGCTTCGGCGGCGGCATATGTCAAAACACTCTTGAAAATATTTGCCCCGGCCCATTAGAAAGATACCAGAAGATGAAGGTAAGACTATCCCATGACCCTTTCATATATGCCTATCTCTAATTTTGATGATGAAGTGGGGGTATCTCCCGCCCTGGAAGAAATCCTACGGAAACTATTCGTTACAGATCCTAACGAGGACAGACGGAGCCTAATGGCACGCAGAGGTGGGCCCTCTAAAGACACCTGCCAATGGATATTCCAAACAGATGAGCTAAAAAACTGGTTGGATGCGAATACGAACACGCATAACCCCCAAAATAGTATTCTTTGGCTGAATGGGCTCCCCGGAAGTGGGAAGTCAACGATGGCAATGTGTCTCACAGAGGGCCTAGAGCAACAGTTCAACACGGACCGCAAAGATGGTTCATTTGCATTCTTCTTTTGCGAGGCAAACCACGACACGCAGAACACCGCTACAGCCATTCTCAGAGGGATCTTATGGCAGCAAATTCGCCAAAATCCAATACTGCAGGACTGGCTGATTGGGAGGTTTCGCGAACGCAACGACACTCTCCTTCAATCTTTCGAGGGACTCTGGACTATATTAACCGAAATGGCTACAGACCCACGTTGTAAGATCTCATAGTGTATTATTGACGCGCTGGATGAATGTGACTCGGGGTCGCAGACGAGAATTCTCGAGCAATTAAAACTCAGTTTCTTCGATCGCCCTTAGGAGCGGTTCACATCGAAAGTTCGAATACTGATTACTAGTCGGCCTTACTACGAGATTGCCTCATGCCTAGGTTTCTTTCCTTCGAGAGATATTGCTACCTTCGTTGAGGAAAGGAAGACGGATATCCAGTTATTCATCCGACAGAAGGTTGGCGATCTCAGCACGCGGAAAGGGTATCATGACAAGATGAAGGATCAAATCCAGGAAATACTAGAAGCAAAGGCTGATGAAACTTTCCTATGGATTGGGTTGACATGCGATGAGTTGAAGAATGTCGACCTACAAGACACTCTGGCCTTTCTCAATAATCTCGCCCCTGGTCTGAACGCAATTTATACGAAACTGATGGAGAAGGCGATTGAAAATGAACAAAAGCGGGAGAGGGTGTATGCCATTCTTGCTATTGTTGCCGTGGCACGACAGGCGTTGACCTTATCCCAACTGTGCACTGCCTGCTCTCTATATACTGGCGAGGATAAAGAGGCACAGATCGCCTTCATCAGAGCAGACATCAAAGATTGTCGTCTGATGGTAGTAGAGATTGAGGGCTTTGTAAACCTCCTTCACAAGTCAGTCCAGGACTTTCTATTTGGAGCTGGCATGAGATATTTGATATTTTCCATCCAAGGAAGAGTCACACGCTCTTCTAGCATATGCGTGCATCAATCACACTGCAAGGCACTTCCGAAATAGAGCTGGTCGTTTTGAAAAGTTGCTCGATGAGTATCTCCACGAGCTCAGGAAGAAGAACGATGAACACGACGTGATGAAGAAGGAGGCAGCACATATGAGACTCAGAGAGGAGATTTCTACATGGGGCGACTTCATACCATACTGTTCTCAATTCTGGATGGAGCACGCTCACCTGAGTGGGATGGTCTTTGATCCCGCCAAAGTCACAGAAACCCATTTCCTTACGCTCGACTCTCCATCCCGAGATTTATGGCTGCGGTATTACGGTTTGGATCCTTGTCATGCTGCATACAACATGGGGATATTGCATATTGCAGCACAATGGGGAATACCGAGCTTGGTGGATTTTGCGCTCGGTAAGAATTTGGCAACCGAAGGTGGCTTCTACATCCACACAGACTCTCTCCCATCCCACGGGGGCACTCCGCTTCTATGGGCTGCCATTTTTGGAAACATAGCTGTGTTTACCGAATTAGTATCCCGGACTGATCCGACAAGACCTCTCACAAGTAGCGTTCTCACGGCCCTTGTTGAGCATAACTCCAACCGTGAAAATTTTATCACGAGCCTGCTCCATCAAATGGGAAGTCAGATTGTTGTAACCGAGGAACTTGAGATTGCAGCAGTGAAAAATACTCGAGAAGGGTCCGAAATCTTGAAAGCATTGTTGTTTCATCGAGACCAGATGTCAAGGAAGAGGCCCCATATCGCTACCAATGTACTTGTTGAGGCTGCTCGAAATGGATCTCAGGGCATACGGACCATGAAGATGATATTCACATACTTCCAAAATAATGTTTCAATCACTGAAGAGGTCTTGGGGGCAGCTGCAAGAAATGCCAAATGTGCCAGCGCACTTCTGGATATGTTACTTGAGCATTGGACCGAGGAAACCATCCCAGAATGGGTTGTCGCTGCAGCGGCGGCTCATCCTACAGACGGCCCGCATATCATTCGAATACTCCAGGCAAAATCCCAGAACGCAATTTCAGTTACGGATGATATACTTGCGAGCGCATTCGGAAACATAGACAGCGGTGTTGCGTGTCTTGAACAGTTATGGAAAGAATGGCCATACCTCACCGTCGTCGGAGGCTCAGCAATCCCATACCATTTTGGCGGAGCGGGGCACGAAGGGGTCTTGTGCTGGACTCTTTCACAGCCATGCCAACGCGTGGTATTTTTCAAAGACGCTTTTCGGAGTATCCTTGCAAGACGGAGCGTGACAGTGTTGGAGCAGATCATGATCGAGTGGCCGGGTCTACATCTATCACATGATTTACTGCAGGCAGCTGCAAGTAACAGCAAACATGGCGCATCTATATTCACATTCCTCTATATGTCTTGCCCGGAGCAAATACAGGTAACCGAGGACCTGGTGACAGAGGCGGTAGGATCAGACCTAGAGACGTTAGAAATCATTCTGTCGCACAGACCAGCAAATCATGACGTGGTCAACAGAGAAGCCCTTCGGAAGGCTGTTGAGATGTACAATGCCTTAGAGATCTTACCAACTCTTTTAAATGCCAAGACAGGGCCCTTTTCCCTAGTCGGGACACGTGATACGCCGGACGTCATGAAGTTCTGCCTGGACCAACCAAATGTTATGGTTAACGTCGATGAGGACATGATGTATGATCTGGAATACCTCGACGAGAAGGAAGATTTGTTGAAACGTATATTGAGTCTGCCCGACAACCAAGTCCAAGTTTCGGGCGCAGCTGCTGAGACGATAATTCATGAATATGGGCGATCCCATACCCGGCTTCTTCTTCGCCACAGCAATGTACAACTCACTAAGGAAGGTGTTAATTCTATTGTGGGGCACCAGGATCCGGATACAGTGTCCCTGGTGCTAAATCATCAAGCAATTGAAGTCGATCGCCATCTCCACGACGCCTCATGTCGTAACGACGACGCTGGACAAGTGTTGGCCATCATAATAGAGAGCACTTCTGGAGACATGTCTGTGAATGAGAGAGTACTGGAAATCGTTCTACGTGAATGCAAGTCACATATCATTGAGAAGTATATCCGGCATCTACCACCTCATACGTGGAGAAGGGAATTGATTCGTCTTCTGGTATCTCACCAATCGAATTCCCAGTACACCCAATCCTTAGTACTACGGTTGCTACAGTGCCATTAACAGGCTGTGATTGACCATTCCCTGATGGAAGCGATTGCTGAGTACTGTGATGAAACTGTCATGATGACGGCTATTCAGAGAAGCAGCATGTTTACGCAAGAAACAGTGACAGCAGCTATGAAAAATATAATGCACGGAAGGAAGATCTGGGGATTGCTAATTGGCGATGTTTTACCGAACGTACCCGTCGATACGGAGTTTGTTCACAATCTGGCACGCATATCAGACCCGGAGACCATACATCGTGTTTTTCAGCAGGCATCTGGCGCCCCACTTGGTCTGAGTAGATTCTTGCTTTGCTGGGCGGCAGCTGAGAACCGCAATTTTGGTTGTAGGGCGATTGAGTCAATCCTCAATATTAATGATGATGATCTGCTGCAAGATGGTCGAGCGACTCAGCGATCTTCATTGTGCTCTTTCAACCCTCATTGTAGACCTATACCACTCACAGGAGCGATAATCGATGCCCTCGGCAGGGACGAGCAATCTGGGCCGAGCTTTGTCCAAACCTTTCTTCACACATGCGCCACTAAAGTCTGGATCACTGGAACTGGCCTGAGAACAATAATTAGAAATTTTGATGTTAGATTCATACGCGAACTGTTCTCACACAAGATTCTCCCGTCAGAGGTCGATGATTGCACTATCCAAGCAGGCGCTGCCAACCGAAGAGATGGCCCAAGAGTTCTTGACTTTTTGCTTTCACAGGGAACAAGGAAACTCGAGATTGCAGGACACACAGTATCTGCTGCTTTGGCGAATACGGAACATCGGAAAGCTATAATGTCACGGTTAATAGCCAGTGAGAGGACTATCTTCGGACAGTCTGACGTTGCTGAAATCATGAAAACCCTGGATCCCACCATGATGGCGGATGTATTTCTCTGTACATCTGAAAAGATTGAGATCGGTGAGGCGTGCATATTAGAAGCGATCCGCGGGATGGGTGGATATATCCCCCGTATTTTCACTTTGTTGCAACATCTACTGAGCCTCAACTTGCCTTTTATTGTAACGGCAGACATGATACAGGAAATACCCGATTCTGCCGCTGACCAATTGTGGCCCCATGACATCATGGAAAAGATCCAGGAAATGTTCAATGACCCGAATAATAAAGTACATATCACAGAAAGGGCGATCGTCGAGTTCACTAGACGTTGCTTTATCGGTCTCGATGTGTGGAAGCCAAGGGCCTCTGAACGTCTGAGCCAGCGGTATGCTATATTGGCTATGTACTGCAAGCAGCTTCCTGGACAAGGAATCGTCGACGAGGAGGTGATTGTGGAACTTTTACATACGAAAATCGATGTTTTTCAACCTCCCTGCCGTCCTCCCATATTCCTTCCAGCTTGCAATACCTGTGACCGAAGATTGGATGTGTCCCACTATGATGTCAGGCTGGAGTTTGTCCGCGAGGAAGGCTTACAGGATGTTTGAATTTCTAGAACGAGCCCGCCCACCATTAGCCATAACAACAGGGGGTGCCCTGAGTATCTTGAAATCAGGTGACCAGGAGGAAGCACGATCAATCGCCCAGCTCCTAGGCGACCGATTGAGGATGTCTCAGGAAGTTTTTGTAGCACTGGTCAGCGTCGCAGACGAAACCACAATTGCGTACCTCTTCAACCATGGGGACAATGATATCAAGGTCACAGAAGACATGTTACTTGCCGTGGTGGGAAACCCACAAAGTACATTGAATGCCCTCAACTATGTTGGTTCCTTTTCACCGCATATCATTACCGCCGAGATTGTCATGGTGTTGACTGAAACGCAACATTGCGACGCGGAAACGCTCAACTCACTCCTCCAGCGACTACCTGCCATGGTCCTCCTCTCTGAGGATTTTTTGATCACGACATCAGAGAGTAAGTATCACGGAGAGGAAGTGATGGAATGCTTGAAGGACTGTGTGGACACATCAATTTTCCGAACCTACCTCAGCGAAGAAGTATTTATTGAAACGGCGAAAAACGAAGATTGCGGTGGCCCCCTCATGGACACTTTGCTGAAAGTTCCTGGTTCATTGCCAATTACGGAAGAGGTCATTGTTTTGGCTGCCCTTTCGATCCCTACCGAGCCCCCGTTGTTTGGCCATCCCGTGACTGAGGCACATGTTAAGGATCTCTTGTGTCGAGTTGCCAACCCGAGATCCCCAAGCCTTGATTTCCTTGAAACTGGGTTCTCACTATTCGGATATTCTTTGTTGACCTTTATGACGGACATTTACAAGCAAGTCGGCGAGCTTAATCCGGGCTTGATTAAACAATGTCCCGTCAGAAGAGAGTTTCGTGAGTTTCAAGAGGGTATAACGAAAAGGGGCCTTCTGCAAGTTATCGATGGTCGTTGGCATTTGGGGCCCGTGGCCCATGAAGCTATTCATAGGGGCGATGAAAGTAACATCAGGAAATTGACCCTCGAAACGGCTGATCCGGTACTGACAGACATATCCATCACGGCAGAGATGGTTGAAGATGAGTTAGAAAGTCACGATGGCCCCAAGGACATCATCAAATGGCTTCTGGAACAGAAGGCTGGCAGAGTCATAGTAACAGCCGAAGGCTTTCTCGCAATCATTAAGTCCTACAGCCTGTCTACAATAGAGCTTATGGCTACCAAGAGTGAAGCCATCGTCATCCCTTCAACATTGTTTGTTTCGTCGCCGAGCCCTGGAGTCGAGGACATGAAACACCCATTTATGGGGTTCAAGTCACGATCGGACTTGATGGAGACACTCATCATGACCGTGGTGACTAACAATAGCGGTCAGAATGTGGCTATCTTGAGATACATGTTTGTTCGCTTTGGTTGTCCCGCAGTTATATCCAGCAACGCATTGAGGGCTGCTGCCAGCTCACCTTACAACCCTACAGGCATTCTCGAGTTGTTACTCTGTTGTAATCATGGCATGATTACCGAGATTGAGTCAATAGTTCTCGCTGCAGCGGCAAATCCAGTTGAAGGGGACCGTCTCATAGTACTGGTCTTTGATCACCTGGGTGACCAAATCCTAGTGTCTGAGCCTATGCTTGTTGCCGCGGCGGGGAACAAGGGCTCCAAATATGCTCTCTCCAAATTTCTGTTGCTGTGGAAAGGTCAAGTAGCCGTCCGTGTATTTGTGGCAGCATCGGCGAATCCCGTGTTTGCAGTAGAGATTATGGAGCTCCTGTTGAAGAAATATGAAACGCCTATCACAGAGGATGTGTTGATTGAAGCTGCTCGCAACCAAACCCAAGGAGACAAACTTCTTGATCTGATATGTCGCGAACGACACTCTCAGTTCAGTCTGACTGTCAATATTGTTCAAGCAGCATTAGGAAGAGTGTCTCATAAGTACCGTGCGACAGGACATTGTAGGGTCCCAGAGCTTTTCCTTGACCCAACACTCTATGTGGACCCACATTCCGTTCAGGTGACCGCAATCCTATCCAGGTCACTTTCCTACACCCAATTTAAGATTTATCTGTCCAAAGTCAATCTACTCAATCCCCAGGACCTGGCATTGGAGCTTGCCCAGGAATGTAACGATGTCACACTTCGCATGGTTCTTGAGCGATATGGTTCGGAAATTGCCCTTTCTGAGGAACTGCTGACGAAGGCGGCCCGTAACACCCATTGGCGAACGAACATTCTCAAGGTTTTCATCTATACCGGAGACGATAATGGTCAGGCTATAACTGTGACGCCAGATATGATAGTTGCTGCTGCAGCAAACCCGAGGTATGGATATGAATCTGTTCAGATGTTGCGAACAAGACACATAGGGGGTCCCTTCGTCAACTTTGAGTCGTTACTGGCCACCGTCTCTAATGATGGGGACTTCTCCCTAAGGTTGCTAAGGTTGCTCTACCGATGTTCGCAAGGCCCACTACCGATCACTACCAAACTTCTTTCTGCCGCTGCCCAAAACCCTGCTCATGGAATGGAAATGCTAAGGCTACTGCTTAACCGCCTTGAGAAACAGGACGATAATGATATTGCGTATGAGGAAGTCGCAGAAGCCGCGGCTTCCAATACTGCAACCATCGCCGGCAAATGGGGTGAAGCTTCTAATAAATGGGCGGACACTGACTACATCTGGTGTTCTCCTCTAGGGCTCCTCATCCGCAGAAGGCGCCACCGCATAAAGTTCAGCGAAAGTCTCCTAGCTGCCGCTGCATCTAACCCCAAGATGGGAAGAGGTTTCGTCCTTCTTCTGATTAAGTGCGCCGGGCCAGAGCTTACCATCACTGAGAATGTTCTTTGTAAAGCGGCTAAGAACCCCCAACAAGGATATGACGTATTAATGCTCCTTCTCCATCACCCGAGATTGAAACACGGTATTTCAGAGAATGTAGTTGCAGCAGTGGCAGCAAATGACCACCACAAGAACTGGAAAAGAGTTCTCGGGCTCCTTCTCGCTCATCACGGGGCACCATTTCAAGTTTCAGAAGGCTTGGTCCTCGCTCTGGTTCAAAGTGAAGAATATCGTGATGAGAAACTGAAGGTTCTTTTGGAGCAACATCAAGGACCTATCTGCATTTCGGATGAAGTCATGCAGAATGTGTCGGCACGAGTAAGGGACTCCGTTCGCCGAAAGCTAGAGATTTACCGAACTTACCCTGTGACCAGGGAGAGGGCCGTATGGAGTACTTTTTGGAAGCTGTTTGTCATTTTTATGTCTTGCTACCTATCCCCACTTTTCTTTCGACATCGAGTCAGTCCCCGTCATTGAAGATGTACTAGTTGTAAGTCTAGAGAAAGAACGACGTTGTGTCATGGAATGATGTGTTCACTCGGGGTGTCCAAAGACTCTGTCAGTGAGTCTGACATGTTAAATCTTTTCGTTGGCAATGCAACGCCAGAGTATTCGCTATCAAAAATGCGAACACCGTCGATGGGCAATTCTCACATCTACCACAAATCACCCATGATGCTACAGTGTCTTCCCTTTGTTTCTTTCACTGTTTTGCCCTTTGTTTACCTCTCTCTTCTTTTCTCTCGAATATTTTTACGAATTTTGTTTTAGCAACCTAACAGCTTATCCACCACACTAAGTTCCGGTATTTCATATACTGGTAATGAAAAAATTCATATTATAATAACATCTTGAAGCCCATTGTACTCTTTGTGTATACCGAAACTGTCTGAAGATATATGGATGTAATGGAGTGTCAGAGCACTCATATCCGCTACTAGTAGTTCCACGCAAGACTTACCTCAACTAGTGAACCTCCACAACCTTTCGAACTCAAACTTAAACTCAATAGTAAATACTATAAATTTGGAAAAACCCAACACTACCGATAATTTACTAGTTGAAAATATCATGCTACATCCGGGCCCTTTGCACCCCGCACGGCATTTGCGGAGACTAAACTTATATCGGTATGGATGGGCGGAATGTGGGGACGGCCAGCAAGGATAGGGATGTTGAGGGCTGAGATCTCGGACGAAGATACTGCGTTCAGTTTGGCGGTGATGGCCTTGAACTTAATTTCCTGCTTGATGATGTATTGAGATACAATGAAGACGGGTTGGTTTGTTGTTCTGGAGAGGATGTGGATGATAAGTCTACCGCTCTTCACGAGAACAAACGACGAGGGACGAGGAAATACGTACAGTAGAAGAATGCCAGGTATTTTAGTTTAAGGAGTGACGGAATTGAGTGAATTAATCCTAAGCTAGCTATTCACATACAGTGACTATACAAGATACAGGATAGACAATCTATCGTACACGATGTCGGCGAAATTTTTACAAGAAGCGACCCTCCTTGCTCAACCACTCCGCCATGTAGTTGTAAGCAGTGTAAAGAGTGTTACCATACTCCCCGGGGTACGTCTCACACTCAGTGCAAGTGACAATAGTGTGCTGAGCACCCTCGACGAAAGCAATCTCGGCATCCTTGCTACCAGCGGCAAGGTGGAGCTTCTCAGCGTTCAGGTACTCGTAGTGGCCGGTGTTGCCCATGTTCAGCAAAGGCACAGTAACACCACCGATGTTGCCGAGCGGAGCAGTTTGACTAGAGTTCCAGACAATACCCTCGAAACCATCGACCTTGTACTCGAAGTCGTCGGTGACGCGGATAGCCAGAGTGGAGAGGTAACGCTTGATGGTGGTCTTGAGGGCGCCACCCTCGAAGTTGTCGGCGAAACTCTCGAAGTTAGCGGGCACACGAACGGAGGGAACAATCTGCGTGGTGATCGAGCCGTTGCGGTGAAGAAGGGGCCAGGGGTGGGTGGTGTGGTGGATCCAGCGGGTGTCCTGGGCGAAGAACTTGTTGTTGAAGCCGACGTATATGGAGTCGACGATGTAGAAGGGCTCGTCGTCGCTGAAGATGCCGCTGCCGTTGTTGATAGCAGCCAGACGGGACTCAGCGTGCTTCAGGATACGATTGTTGCGAGCAACGACACCCTTCTCGAAGGCCTTCTTGAAGGACTGGGTGTAGTTGGCGCCGGACTCGGAGAAGCCGTTGGCGGTGTTGTAAAGGTTTAGTGACTGATCGATCTTGGCACCGGAGTGCTCGTCAACGATGGCGGGATTGAGACTCAGGAGAGCCATGGTGGAGAGTCCGTAGTTGGCGTCAATGAGAATAAGACCGTCGGCTGCAGGCAGGTCGGCCATGGCGTCGGAGCAGGGGTAGATACGTTCAGGACCATTGCAGGCCTTGACACCGTTCTCAGCGATGTTTTGGTAGGCAGTCATCATGGCACCGCCACCACTGTGGCCGAAGATGACAACCTTGTCGATCTCAGTCAGGTTGCGCAAGTAGCTCATGCCCTGGCCGACGTTGGTCATCATATCTTCGAAGTTGATGTCGGTCATGTAGCCGCTCTTGCTGGCATCATTGTTTGCGCAGAAGGTAGTAAAGCCGCGGCGGGGGAGCTCGTGGCAGGCTGAGAAGTTCAGGTAATCCTGCTCAGCGTGCATCACGTAGACACCGATACGGGACAGAGGGCTCGTGGTGTTGGGTCGGTAGAGGCCACCGACAACTCCGTCATCATCAAAGTCAATCATAACGGGTTCAGGAAGACCATAGGGATCGGCAACAGCATAGTTGTAGGTGGCAGCGACTCCAGAAAGAGCGCTCAAGGCCATGAAGCCCGCGAAGGCCGCGGTCTTGGAAGAAAGCATGGTGACCGGCTGAATTGGAGGAATGAGAGGAATGATGTCCAGAATATAGGTGGTTGACGGGGTTTATATAGTCCTCTATGAAGCAGACAAGACATGATCATGTCGGCCGAAGTAGCTCCTCATGTTTGACGTAGAGAGGGTGGGACTGGATGACGAGTGCTGCAGTAGATCGCTTCTCTGTCAAGCAGCCGTTGAAGTCCAGGTATGGACAGCCAGTAACGAGTGAAGTTAAGATGGGGCCTGCATTGTGCAGAGGACTGGTCGTACGATGGGACGGCACAGAAGAGTCCGTCAATACTAAGCCAAGGCAGAAGCGAAAGCTAGCAGAGCTTAGATATGTCTATTTGTTGACGTTCAACGCAGTTCCTGTTCCGAGGAATGCGATATCGGTCTGCCGGCACCCGCAGAGGCGTTCTGCAGCAGACGTAGTCCTGATTCGCCCTGCGGTCATAGCTACTGCAGCAATAACTTAACCTACAGAAACTTGCCAGGCACGTTTTCTGCATGTTCTCAAGGTCTGGGGACGTTTCCATGAATTGTGGTTCGACCTGGTCGTATCTCCGAGTGCCTCCGCGTTTGGCAACTCCCGCCGAACGATCGTCACAACCCTAAATTACAACATCTGGAGCCATGCCCACTTATCAGGCATCTAAGTTTACAATTTGGGGATTCGGAAGGTAAAAACATAGTTCCTGGCATTATCTTTGGATCAGTATATCTAGTATCCACTGATCGTCGGGTACCATCTTTATCAATTCAATCACCTGAAACGGCCATGAAAAGTTCCCGCAATTTAAGCACTGCTCACTGACCGATTTCCCTCCCATTGGCTGTTTGCAAGCCAGCATAGTACGCGTATTTGTAGAGAGCATGAATCGCTACGTCGATACCGTAGTCAGCGTGGTCACTAGCAACGATGTGGCCCGTCTGTACCATCCTACATGAAGTGGGCATCGTATGCTTGGTTCGCACGGGAATGTAGCATCCATTAATGATGGCGGAATCTAGACCGAATCTAGTATGATCCATGCGGGATAACCTGCTCATCCTTATGCCTATATACATCTTCAGGTAGCTGCATATCTAATGGTTGTTAGGGTGGATATGTTCCAAGATTCCATGAACTATCTCTTTCGAGACACGGCGGATAGATGTCCGAACAGTATCGGAGTTTGACATATTTAGCATCTTCCCTGAAAAGGCGAACGTTCTTCTGTTGTTTTATTTCTCATGCGAGCGTATGGAATTCATTTTATCTTCAAGTCAGAGGATGGAATCCTGTATGCTCGTCTCTGGAAGAGGTCTGAGTTGTACTGTTCCCACAAGGACATTCTATTAACCTTGAACCTCTGTTTGGACGCTTATTCTTGTATCATGGTGGTAAGCAATCACGGTGAACGTTCGGAAGCTGATATATCCTAGGGTACATATGTGACAGGTGCAGTGCAGTCAAAATAACTGACTGAAAAGTGATATCACACTGGAACATATTCTCGCGTCTGTTATTCAGATAAACGTATTACATCGTTTTGTGTTGGCTCTCCGGCGCCCTTAGTGCATCCTTGTAATGCCCAAGGCAGAAGGTACTAATAGGCGACCACAGGAGACATAGACCCAGGGCAGTGACGCCGGGAAAATACAGAAGGAACAAGCATGTTGGGAGCCGAATAAGGGACGAAAAATTCAGGATGTAACTCGCAGACAGCCAGCCGGCTGCGACACTCTTTTATATCTCTACTGTTGTATGACCACGCTTTTGCTTTTGTCATTTAGCTGTGTTAGCTACGATGACGACCTTCCAGCGTTGTGGCATACGTTGCTTTGTGAGTACTGCAAAATGTTTGAGCTTTGAAGGTGTTCCAGGCCATATTCTTGCCTCAAACGGTGAAGCATCTGCATAACTAGGATCTAAATAGTGGGGTCGACCGGTATAAGAATATGAGTTGAGTTGAATTAAACTGAAAGGGATTGCAGTTGTCCGAGCCGGGCGCGAGGCATTATAGTGCTCTCTTCTAATGGAACATATTTTATGGTGATGAGTTAGTATGTTGATTCGACTCACTGCGCCCATAGCTGTGGTTGATTGCAACGTATTCCCACAAGTCCCTGTCTCATGGGTAGATACGTTCAACTTCTGGCTTATGTGAATGCCTCAACGGTGCACTTTAGAATATTTGTATCAGAAACGCGTTACAGCGAACCCTAACAAATTCAATACATCACGTTCAAACCCACGCTGAGCGCGAACTTGCCTCAACTTATGGCGCGATCAGAAACCTCACTCATCAGGATAAAAAGCACTACACACACCATCGATGGATAGACTTGCAATGGCAAAGAACAAATTCGCCGATATTCGATGTCAAGGTCGGGTAGTCCATGGCCTTGTGTCCCCCAGTCAGGCTTATTCTGACTAACTTGCCTAGACTCCGGGCTCGTGTGAGTTTCAATGCATCATAACACCGACCAAAGATAATGGACGCCCTTCCTGGCAATAAAGTACCTCGAAAATTAGTAAGTTTGAATGGTCATCTGTCACTACTCCCCTCAACCAAATCGCTGCAGAAGCTTTTCTGGGATGCAATGTGTACGGCGGGA